TCAGCCTCAATAGTTGCTAAAGAAATGACAATTCAAACAATGATGCAACATTTTATGGCTAACACGTCAACAAAAATGTCAATGACAAGAGCAAAGATTGCTGCCAGTAACTGGGTGACATCAATGTGCTCCTGGCTTAGAGGGAGAGGAAATTGAGTAACCTTCTTTGAATGCAAATTGGCAATATATTTTGAAAGCCATAAAATGTTCAGAAACTTAGACCCTGTAATTCAACTTATAGAATTTTACTTTAAGGCAATTTGCTAAAGAAATAAAGGCCTCCCTGTGCGTGCACAACAGGTTTATTGCAGCGTTCGTCATTCGGACATTTACGAGCAGGCACCGGACCCAGGACATCAATAGCATGCCCTGTCCAGTCCTCACCAGAGCCGCCAACTGTACACACCGTTATCACCATCACCCTTTCACACGTGGGCAGTGGAAGCAAAGAGAAGTTAAGTAAGGCTCTTCTCCTACCGCTTGGTACCTCGGGGATTGGAACCCAGGCATGGGACTTGGGAGCCGGGTGCTGAGTATTTGAATAATGCCCCACCCAGGAGCTTGATGGCAAAAGATGATAAGAGATTAAAAGGTCCGTGTTATGGAACTGAGCAATCGTACATTTGATCAAACTGTCTGTTAGGCCATCCATAACAAATACGAAGTATAAAATTTATTTAGCAACATAAACATACTGCGATGATGATACTATTTATTAACCAGAAAACAGAAGACAAAATCACATTACATTATGCACAAATCATATAGATACCGAAAAGAGGTCAGAATGAAGGATGTGAAAATGAAAGTGGGTTTGCTAAGGGGGCATGAGTGACCCCATAACGGGGCTGTCCTACTCACCGCACCACCCGAGCACAGGGTGCCCGGCACGCAGCAGCTCCTCGGACACACCGGGAGAAAGAGGAAACGTGAATCCGGTTTTCTCTAATTTGTTGATATAATCCTGTTTGTATAATCTCGAGGTAACTGGTAGAAATTCAAGCCCCCTTGCTGTTGTCCCAGGAGGGGACACCGAGCATGGCTTAGAGAGCCAGGAGACTGCCTCTGTCACTTACTAGCTGGGCGAGTTAGGCAAGGTCGTCCACCTGCTCAGGCCCCACCTCCACAGACACCATAGCAACTGCCCCTGGGTTTGAAGAATTAAATGGCATTATGAACACAGAAAGGATGCTTAGTGTAGTACCCAGCACCCCAAAGAGCTCAATAAATAGTAGCTGTCAAAATTACAGAAACGCAGAAGACACCGAGACTGCCCAGGCTCCGGGATGTGGGGACAGCAGGGAGCGGCTGTGGTTACAAATGTGCGACACAAGGGACCCTCACAGCAGCAGAATTGTATCTTACACCCGTCAACATCTACGTGCTAGTAAAGGTGCACAGACTCTTTTGGTATGCTTTCTTACAACTGCACGTAAATCAGTAATTATCTCAAAAAGAGAAAAAGGAAAAGAAAAAGAGCACTGGCAGTCCTGGTACACAGGTAACCACTACACATTTTTGGTAGATGTCTTCTGGGGGGGAAAAAAATAGTAGCTGTCATTATTATAAGGGGATGCTCTAGGCTCCTAAAGGCAATTGTAAATTGTTTTTACAATTCTACATTTAAAAATGTGAAGCCATGTATTTGCATGTGCGGTTGGTTGGCTGGACTGCACGTGTGCTTGCTTGCTTGCCAAGAGCAGGAGAGAGCCCCCCGAAGAGTTAATTTCACGAGGCTTAGTCTCCCAGCCATGACTTCATCAGCGACAGAATCTCAGGAAGCTGTTGCTAAACTTTGAAGGATGAAGTAGGCATTGCCCACCCGGGCTAGTTTCTTGTGGCTGCTGTAACAAAGTGACACAAATTGTGCTTAAAACAACAGACATTTATTCTCTCGCCATTCTGGGGCTACATGTCTGAGAACTTGGTGTCAGCAGGGCCGTGCCAGAGCCCGGAGACTCCAGGTGTGTGTGTTGGGGGGTCGTCCTTCCTGCTTCTCCCAGCTTCTGACGGTTCTCTTGGCAAGGCTTGGCGTTCCTCAGCTTGCAGGTTCATCCCTCCCATGTCTTGTCACAGGAAAGTCTGCTTGTGTCTCTCTCCTCACTGATAAGGACACCAGTCACAGTGCATTAGGGGCCCCCTTCACTCCCCTGTAACCTCAACTTAACTAATCACATCAGTAACGACCCTATTTCCAAATAACGTCCGTTCTGAGGTTCTGGAGCTTAGGATTTCAGCCCCTACCACCGCCCAAAAGCCCCCTTCTTAGCGGGCCGGGGAAAGACCCTTATGGAGCGACAAGTAGAGTCAGAGCGGCCTGCAATCCCAAACGAGAAAAATGAGTGCTCGCCGAAGTTTTAGATAAAAAGGAGAGAGAAAACTGGGACAGTATATTCGGCGAATGACAAATGCAGTCACAGAATTCTTGTTTCTTCTCTAGACGGGAAGGCCTTTAAAAATTTGCACTGGCCTTTCCAACTGTTTTGTTCATTAAAATGCTAATTCCCTCTGAGCTGGGAAACCTGCCTAAGCTAGCAGACTAAAAAAAAAAAAAAAAGAAAAAAGAAAATATGAAAGCTGTCCACATTGGACGCACCCTTGGTTCACGGTCTTCCCTTCAACAAAAGCTGTCTGCAGACTGAAGCCAGATCTAGCAGGTTTAATACAAATTTGTTAAAAGTGACTTCTAGACTTTAATCCTGGGATTGCCCGCACTCAGGATGGCAGGTAACAGCATATTCCATATGTGCTCACATCCAGGCCCACCTCCTCCAGGCGAGCTGGAAACAGTTGGGTTTCCCAGTGGGAAAATATCGGATCTGTGCTTTTGTCATGGGCAAAGCCGTGGGAGCCAACAGCACCTTCTGACATACGGGCGCTCAGTGGAAGCCAATTGCCTAAGAACCAGCTGTGATGTGTGCGGCAATATTATTACACCTGCAGGCAAGCGTTATGTTGCTTAATAGCTGTGTAATTGAGACAAGTTGTTTACCCTCTCTGGGCCCCACTTTATTTCTCTGTAAGATGGTCCCAATAATACCTACTTCAGAGCACTGGTGTGCTGATTAAATGAAATAATGGCTATTTAGTCATCTAGTAAAATGCCTGACATGTAGTCGGTGCACAAAAATGTTTGCTACTCACTGATGGTCATTTTGTAGCTAGCAGTCTCTGGGGAGCTGGGTGACTTGGCCATGGAATGGAAGCATGAACCAAAGTCTCCTGGTTTCATATTCCATGCTCTTCCTGCTGCCCCGTCCTGCCCTGGGAACTCCAACACCTGCATAATAAATGTTGCTTCTTGCAGCTTTACTTCTCCTCTTTCACTGTAACGGCCTTTAAATTGCTGAAAGTATTCAGGGGATTTCTTCCTCCTCTGACCCTGTTAGGCTACTAGGCACATCAGAAAAGCCCCTCTTTAAAGCTAGGCATAGTAAGTACTGTTAATACTAAAAACCGTGCATGTTCATTTCACATAGCCATGAAGACCCGTCAAACATAAACGTACAGTCCCAGCCCACTGTGGACTCTTGTAGTTAGGTTGAGTTTGTTTGGTTTGGATCACCACTCCTAGGGGTTGAGGACTTTCCGGTTGGTTAGACTTGAGGACTACGAGGCAGAGACCTGGGGTAAGTAAAGGTCTTGATTCTCTGAGTATTCTGCAAAGGATTCTCGTAGGCCTTGGAGTGCATCCTACATGAAGAAATAGGAGGTTTAATATTTGGTTGTGTGTGGGCTTTCAGAGATGCATGAATGGAGCTTCCTGTTCACAACGGCATCCGGCTAAGACGTGACACAGCCACTTCCATGAGAACAGCTATAAAGACATAGCAGGGAAGAGCTTAAGACGTCATGGAAAGCAAAGGATGGAAACCAAAAATCTGAGCACTCCCATTTACTATAGACAGACCTGCTGAAAATTGTCAACTGATGGCTAACAAATGCTCCATCATCCCAAACGGCAAACCTTCTGCCTCAAAATGAGTTGGGATCTGCTTGGTTTCCTATTGCTGGAAGTGTAGACAGGGGCTAAGTGGTTGGAGACGTACACCCCCATGTTAGACACCCCCTCAGTTCCCCCTTCTATGTTGGCTTAGGAAGAGCTGGTCAGAACACTGACGTCAACCCAGAGTACAGAGCTGGGTCACGTCTAGAAACGGGCCCAGAAGCAGTGCATACACATCAGCCCTGACCCACGGCATGGAGAGAGGGCAGGCTCTGCCCTTTCCTCCAAGGCTCGAGGGATACAGCAGAGAATGTGTCTTACAAAATTCGCACTTTCACTGGGGGAGACAAAAAACCCCAAACTGTGTCCTCTGTTAGTAGTTACCCAATCTGGTTGACCGCCTTTCTTTCACAGCTTTGTGTTTCCTTCGCTTTTTATGGATCTTTACTTGTGTTTATTTCTGTGCCAGGAGCTCCTGCTTGCTTATTCTGTTTACCATAAGTGACCTGAAATGATTACGGGGGACAGGACGTGCTGGTCAGAGAGGAGTGCCAACAGCTCATTTCACTAAGGCCTGGCGCCCTCCTCCTGCTCGGGGCCCCACACTCGCTTTTAGCCTTGGCCGTGGCTAAGGCTTGGCACAGGTGGGTGGAACACGAGGAGGTGACAGGAAGAGCTGCAGGGAACCACACAGCTTTGCTGCTCCAAACCGCTTCCCCTGTTAAGCATCCGGACAAACGCCCTAGGCCTCCTCCTGTAGGCTCTCTGAGGCTCAGTGTCCCCAAACCGTCCTTGCTTTGTGGCAGGCTTGTCTGCACATTTTGAGTTGTTTCCCCCATATTTGCTTTTCAGCACATCCAATTCTGTCTGCCCTTTCTCCTTCAGGAAGTCCTCACTATGTTAAGGTAGCTCACGCTCACGGTGTTATTCTAATTTCTTTTCCCAAACTCCCTTTTGTCATGCCATGAGATTTTAAAAGCAGGTAGACCCCAAAGATCTCTGGCCACACTACTTTCTCTCAAAACAATGCAATTAATACCCACCAAAGAACCAATACGTGTACTATAAGTTTTATTTATAAGACTGGAACAGACAAGAATATTAGTTAGGGTTTTTTCTTCCAAGTTTAAATTAACTAACAAAATGGGGAGAATGACACAGAAGGTGCTATTTACAAAAGACAAATACAACTAAAGGAGGTCAGTTTTTATTCCAAAATAGGAATAATGACTTATACAAAGTGATCATTTTACAAACATTGATCTAAATCTTTAGTATTTGTGGCCTTTTTTTCTTAGGGGGAAAAAAAAAAAGATTGACATGAACTCTTTGGTATTATCTTTTAAAATCATTTATTCTTGGATTGTTATCCATTAGAGTGCTTATAAACATCTAAGATAGATGTATAAGAATGCATTCTGGTTAACTTTTTAATATCTTTAAAACTTCTCCTTCAAGCTATGGGCCACTTCAAAAGCAGAGTGGTTTTGGGGGTGGGGGACGCTGGACTGCAGGATCCAGGACCCAGGAGTCTGAACTGTGCCTCTTAGCTCTTCCAGCTGCGTGACCTGGGTGAGGTGCACTCTGCGTCTCAACCCTCTTGTCCTTCAAATGAGAATGGCTATCCCCCCTATCACACGTGGAAAGGATGAAACAAGACCTCGCCATGGAAGCGCCCGGCCCAGTGTCTGGGCCATAGGTGGTCGTCTAGACCGCTGGCCTGCAGCCCGTTCTGCCAGGCTGTGCAGGGGTGAGTGCTGTGGGACTCATCCCTGCAGCCTTCTCTTCTGCTCCCTCTGCTTTTCTAGTCAGGTGAGATCCTCTTGGAAGGAACCAACCATTGGTAAGAGAAAACAAGCTATTCGAGGAACTGAAAACCGAGCGTCAATAAATTATAATCATATATCTAGTTCTTATCAACTATTTTATATCACTTTGGTGTGTTTATCATTGGTTGCAAGTAAGCAATTTGGTTCTCTTTCCTTTGTAAGGCAAATTTTAGGTCAACCTCTGTAAGCCTCATTTTCTCCCTAATAAAAGAACCCTTTTAAAGAAAGCTTCTTTGCATTTTTGCCCTTTCTAAGAGGTAGGGTATTGACCCTATGCTATTTTAATAGAATCATATTTGCTCTGAAGTAAAACAATTTGTTTTACTTTATTAAATTTGATGCCTTTGGGCTAGCTTCTAAAAAAAAAAAAAACTTGTAGGCAATTAAATAATTCTTGTTAAAAATGATCTGCTTATTTTTTTGTCTCCAGCCTTTACAGTTGAAATGTTCCTTTGGAATATTGCTTTGTAGGTGGTTATAGGGAAACCCACTTAACTGAAATCCCATCCACTGCCTGAGATACTGGCACCTCTACAAAATAATCCAAGATTCTTCAGAACTAAGAAAAGTCTAGTTTGTCCATGGAAGCACGTGAGTGACATGACAGGAAGCAAAGCTTTGTTCTTCATGAAATGGACTTCAAAACAGCCCAGGGCCATCTGACCCTTCAGAACTCGGGAGTCTGGGCTTTGTCCTGCCCTCCCCAGAGGCATCTTCCTCCTCTTCCTCCTGGCTCCGGGGACCAGGGCCTCTGGGCCTCGGCACGCTGTGAGGGGCTGTGCAGCACAGGGTGCCTGGGGTCTGCTCCAGTCAAACATCCCGTGGTTCTAGAACTTTCTTTAGCCTCAACAGCACCAAGGTGCTGAGTGCTCCGCTCTTCCAGGAAACCTGCTCCAGTGTCTTCTTCAGATGTGTCGTCCGGTCAGAAAAAAGAGCGGCCGGTCTTCCCTGGCATTGGCCGTCTGGAACTCGTCACGCAGCCGGAACTGCCACTCGTCCTCGAGCTCCAGGCGGACGACCGTCTGGCGGAGCGAGCTCCGGTCCTGGCAGATCACGCACAGGGTGGCACCTGCGCGGGCGGGGCAGAGGCGTGGGGAGCAAGAGGGTGAGTTTACTCAGGTGAAAGTCACCGCCTGGATTCTACTGGCAGTAACGAGATCGGGCACCGCTTGGAAGGGCAAGTCCCTTGCTTCTTCCGGGCCGATGTATAATCTTAGCAAGACAGACAGTACGCCAGCGTGCAGCGGTGGGTTGGCGGGGAGACTCCACGGAGGCAGGGGAAAGCCGAGCATCGCGAACCGAGCATCCTCAGTTCCAGCCCTCGGCTCACATCCCTGCACACCCCACCCACCCTCACCCCCTTCTTCACCAGGCCAGAGCCTGCCCACCCGTCCAGCTGGGGGCAGCTCCCACTGTCCCCATGTCCCCAGCCTTGGCAACTCTCCCTCCTCTCCCTCCTGACATTCAGCGATACATCAACCAGGTCTCCTTCACCTTGTCCCCCTGTCCCCAGCCTTGGCAACTCTCCCTCCTGGCATTCAGCGATACATCAACCAGGTCTCCTTCATCTCGTCTCTCTCCTCCCTCTCTGCACGTCCAGTCCTCCCTTTGAAGGAAACGTTTCCTGACACAGAGATGCTCTAGAAACCTCTCAGTATTCCCTGAGGCCTTGTGCACTGTTGGTGCCCATTAACTACCTGCTAGACAGGAAGGTCAGAGTGAAGAACCGCCAAAGAAAGCGAAGGTCAGTGAGGGACCGATTGAGATTGGAAACACAGAGTCACACAGAACAAATGCTTGCCATTCTCGGCTGCCCCAGCATGGAAAGGAGAAAGATTAGAGTAAGAGCAGAGTTGCACACGGTGCCAACCAAGACGAGGAGGAAGGGCCCCCCTTCTTTCAGCAGGAAGCGGCATCTAAGGGGACCGGGGTGCAACGTGAAGGATTTAGGACGAAAAGGAACGCAGAAGCTGAAAATATCTGCAATGCACCTTAAAGAAAGGGGGGCGTGTCTTGTCTCTACCTGGACAGGAACACAGGAGAGAGCCCCCTAGAATCCAGCCCCAGACTTCTTGGTGGCCGGGGCAGTCGCCTGCCCTCTCTGAGCCTCAGTTACCCACTGGCAGCAGGACTAGCCCCAGAGGACACCTCCTTGGAGGCCCCAGGCAGTGACAGCCACTCAAGTCAGGGTTCAGGATTGGAGTTGGCGTAAGTTACCTTTCAGAAAATGAAACTTTTTCAAAAAGCCAGCCCCCACAAACGAGTCACAGAGGTACAGCAGGAGCCCACTAAAGATCAAGTCGGAGCAGCTGATGTTTAAAGAGTGGGGCCTGGAGCTCACGTAGCAAACGGAAATCTGAAAAAGAAGGAATCCAAGAGAAAACACCATTTTCCACAAAAAGACTCAATAACGTCACACCCCGGGGGTTTGCACCTAACAAATGCTAACTACTTGGTCAGGCTCAAGATTTCTGGGGGGCCAGAGATATTTTCATGTTATTTCCTAATCTATACCCTAAAAGTCAGTTCCAGGAGATTCATGCAGATCTATCTACACATGGGCTCATTTGGGAATGGAAATGCTTTGGCATCAGAATGGGATTGGACTCCCAACTTCCTGCATCTGGGCGGCCGTCCCAGCTCTCTCGCCTGTTACCAGCTGTACAGCGGGGAAGCCACCTGGGACACGGTAGCTGACCAGTGAGGACCCAGAGCCCCGGATCCTAGCTCGTATGTCCCAGGATTCTCTGATTTACACGTTCCACGGTGCCCCGCTGAAGGTCACCTGAGATCCCAGGTTAAGGTAACAGTCGACGGACAGCACGGGGTGGCCGTGGTTCTTCAGGGACAGCGGGAAGAGGCGGTGGCTGTGGTGCTGGAGGAACTTCTCCAGCAGGAGCTGGGCGGGAGCCGCGAGGAGCGTGTGCTTGCTGTCGGGGGCGCAGATGTACTGGGCCGGCACGACGGCAGTGGAATTCTCGGACACCTGCACGGGACGAGGGGCGTCAGGCCACTTCCGGCTGCCCGGAGGGGAGCGGGCCCTCCCAGGGCTTCTAGGCTGGACTCAGGGGCTGGGGCGGCCCCAGCAGGGAAGGTTGTGTTGCTCGGGGGGATGCAGAGAACAAACAGGGAACAGCTACTCCAAGAACGAAATCCTCCGTTGAGAAAAACGAGGTTTTACCGAAGTGGGATACGTGCAAACTAACCAACGCGATCAGTAAGAATTAGAGACGTTGATCATTCCATGGAGGAATCTGGCTGTCTGGTCTAGAGCAAATGAGAGAACCGTGGACCTTGGGAACTTTCCCCGCACCCAGCAACGCCTGCCTCAGGGAGGGCCAGTGGTGGGGGCCTGAATACGGCCCATATATCCACGGCCCCCCACTCCAGGGTGGACACCAGGCCGTCGGCGCTCACTCCATCACTGGCACGTTTTCCATGCTGTGGCCAGAGACACTACATTTAATATACATAATTAAAACTAACCAGACCCTCTGCCGAACACCCTGCAGTTACTCCTAGAGAAAAGTCTAGAACTCTCCCCTGGCTGATAAGGCCGACCTACTCCCCCAGCTCCTCTCGGCCACTCTCCTCGTCGGCCTCCTAGGTGGCTTCACCCACGTTCTGCCCCTGCCTGGACGCACAGCGCTTGCCCTCCCGCCACCCTCTAGCCTCTGCGGAGTCACTTTCTTGGTGACACTTCCACAGACTCCCCGTGACACACGCTCCACCTTTGGGGTGCTTCTCGCTACAGTGTCTCAGCTGCTGGGTGTAGACTCTGAGCAAAGGGGTCGGGTGCTCAGTAAATATTTAATGAATAAAGAAATGAAAGCAATTAAGTGATTTCATTCATACGTAAGACCACAAGTCGTTACTAGCTGTCCTATATATAATCGATATGCACTTAAACCTAATGGAAAAATAAGATTATGTCCAAAATAGGAATAAAGATGAAATACCTGAGAGTTTTTAAGTGGCACCAAAGGACATAAGAAAAAAAATGAGCTTTAAAGGCACATGCAGCTCTTTGGTAGAAAAGCCTTAATACGGTAAAGATCTCAATTCTCCCCCCAAATTAAACTACAAATCTAACACAGTTTTAATTTAAAAATCTCAACGGTGGTAGCAGGTGGGGGGCTTAACTCTGACTCCCAGGTTTTTCTGAAAGTACAGGCCTTTTGCTGAAAGGTCTTGCTACTTCGCAAGAGAAATGAGGATGGGCTTCCACGGGCAGAGAAGGCCTCGGTCCCCGCCTCTGAACTGCACGAAGAGTCAGCAGAAAACCAGGAAGGACAGAGGCTGGAAAAGGCAGCTGGTACCGAAAGGGCTGACGGTGTCAGGGCAGGATTCAAGGCGGGCAGGAGGTGACAGAGAAAGGGCCTCTGGCCCACAGGACTGGGGAGACCCTCCGGCAGAGATACCCCAGCCTGCACAGTTTCCCAGAAGACACACAACTCTCTCGGGTCTCGCTGTGATTTGGCATCTTAAATTCCCCAGGCCTGCTCGGCTAGAACGCACACAGCGGGAGCACGTCCCTCCCCACGCCGAGGCTGGCCTGTGGGCAGACAGCAGGGCCATCGAGCCAGCCTGCGGGGCCATCCAGCCATGTGGCCAGGCACCAGCCCAGGGCCCAGGGAAGAGCGTGGCCCTGGGCCTCAGCCGGCACAGGACGCCGTGGTGGTGGTCTCGCACTGAGCAGAGGCCGACGGGACAGAGTTACAATCAGAGAGCACAAGAGCAGCCCGACAGAGCCTCCCTTCCCGGTTGATTACAAACCCCTGCGCACCCTCCCCCGGGGTGAAGCCCCGCCCCACTCCCGAGAAAGAGACGACCTGTCCTCCCCGAAGGCTCCCACCATTTCGGCACCGCAGCAGCCCACGCGGCAGGTGCACAGACCCGCCCGGCAGCGAGCCAGGCTCACCTTGGACGTGATGTGGAAGGACCTGTGCCCGCCCACCGCGATCTGCTTCTTCATCACGCTGAAGCGGTTGAACCGGCAGAGCAGGAGGCCGGCGCTGTGCACCCGCAGGTTGAAGTCCACGTCGTCGCACGTGAACCTGCTCGGGACAGAGGAGCAGCAGGTGTGACGGGATGCAGCTCACGCCCCCGTCACAGCCCCCAGACCCCCAGAGCGCGGCCCCGCCCCAGGGAGCTGCGAGGTGGGCGGGCTTCCGTCCTGCCTCCAGACCTTGCTCTAGAAGGGGTCACAAGGAGAACAAACGAGGCACAGGGCAACGGGAGTGTACCAGGAGGGCAGCGGCACCTACGGCTTAAACCACACAAGCACGGATGCTCGGTGCCCGCTCGAAACAACAACAAACCCCCCAGGGCAAAATACCAGCCACGTTTCATAGCCGAGGAAGACCCGTGGCTCAGAGACGAGCCATGAGCCTGAGCCGCGAAGCCGCCCGGTGGCAGAGCCCCGACCCCAGCAGACCCGGCAGCCTGGCTGCGCAAGTCCCCGCAGGCCCTGTCGGCCGCGCCGCCCGGCACACCTGGGTGCTCAGCGAGCACCTGGCGATTGAATTATCTCGTGAGCACGTCTGTGGCGAGAGGTGTAGGGAACAAACTACGGAAGTTACTTCATCCCGGTGTTCAGTGCTAGAGCCCCTAAAAGGCAACGTGCCGAGACAAACACATCGCACAGTGTGACTCGCTAAAGTGAAGTCTCACGAGGATCGATGAAGCCGAGTGATCTTACGTGAACACCAAAAATACAACGGCACTAGAAAACTGGGGACCAGAAGCAGGGCCGGGCCAGCGCCGCGGGGCAGCAGCTCTGGCCCAGGCAGGCCCTCGGGACAAAGGGGAGGGACCTGCCCGAGGCCACCGCCCACCCAGGGCTCCATCCTCGGGCCGTGGGCGCAGGGACTCACCGGTTCTGGTTGTACTGCACGTTCTGGGTCAGGTCCACGTTGAGGATGACGAAGTCGTGCACGTGGCAGCGGGAGAAGGGCTCTCGCACCTCGCTGCGCCGGGTCTTGCCGGACCACTTGCGCAGGCCGATCAGGGCGTAGTGCGTGATGTTGGGGGAGGCCTCGATGTGCTGCATGATGTACTTCAAGGAGACGTTCCTTTCCGACCAGGAAAACTCCCTGCTCGAAGGAGGGAGAGTGACGTCCCGAGGTTGCCAGGCAAGCGGCCGCGAGGGGCTTTGTGCGGGCCAGCCGGGACCCCGCCTTGCAACCGCACCCCCCGGGCACTGGATGGCCAGTGTGGCTAGAACCCAGAGCGACCCCCCACGGGGCCAGGCACCCTGCTGAGCACGTCACATTTGGGACGCTTCTTCCACGAGCTGAACACACTTGCGGACCATAATTTTAGTTAATCCTCACAACAGCCCTCTGGCGCAGGTGTTAACAGCCCCCTCAGAGATGAAGAGGCTGGAACCCCAAAAGATTCGGTCGTTTGCCCAGAGTCGCACAGCAAACAAACGTCAAGCTGGGAGCCAGCAGTGAAGCTGGCGGGCAGGGCGGGGCTGCAAGTGGCGGGACAGGGACTTCCGGGAGGAAGGTGTCCCTTTCTCCATTCGGAGTTGGTTAAATGGGTGTGCTCGGTTTATGTAAATTTCTGTATATACATTGTTATACTTCCTTTTCTGTATGCATATATTACACTTAATATAAAATATGTGATTTTCTGTGTGATTATACTTCAAGAACAATTTTTTTTTAATTAAAGGCAAGCCAGGGTTGGAGTGTGAGTGAGTCCACTCGTGCTGCACCCAGGGCTGGGGCCACCGCGGGCCACGCCTTCCGATGGAGGTGCCCTCTGGTCCCGGGGGTGGGGGACAGCATTCCCCTGCCAGCTTGCCTGTCACTGTCTGCAGCCTGGGGGGGCAAAGCTCTCGGGCTCCTCACCTGCTTCTCTCCCCGGCACCGTCGATGTCCACCACGTTCCACATCACGCAGGAGTCGTCCGAAATCACGATGAAGGGCCAGATGTCCTGCGGCTTGATGCCCAGCTCCTCCTGCCGGTTGCGCTCGAGCTCCAGGTTGTGGTAGGACAGCTCCTTGATGAGGAAGTGGGCGGCGCCTGCCACGGGCGGAACGAGCCAGCTCAGGCCTGCGCCCCCCTCCGGACAGGCCGGCTCCGGCTGTCCTAACGTGTCCCCTGCCACCGACATCAGCCATAGACTCAGGAGAGAAACCAGAGAGGAAAGTGCCACTCCCCAAGCCGTACCCACACTTGCCTTCCGTATCCTTCCTTTTCTAACCACCGCAAATACGAACCGATAACAGAACACCGGGAGACAGGAACATTCTCATAAGAAAGCCAAACAAATCAAAATAGCTCTAAAAGTCCCAAAACGAAAGGCTTGATGTCAAACGCTTAACTCTTCCATCTCTGGAACATTCCTTCTCTCGGGTCTCCGTGCACAGAAACCGCTGCGTGGGGCGGGCGTCAGGGACACCTACCCACGCCGGCACTGTTGAACACGCTGGGCAGCACCAGCATGATGTGGTTGGGCCAGTACTTCTTGTAGATGGCCATCTCGTACTCCTTCACCACCAGCACGTGCAGGTGGCTGGCGCCGTCCATCGCGTGGTACAGGTTGAAGAGCCCGTGCTCGTGGCGGCCAGTTGTGGGAGTGAACGTGGGGCTTTTGATGTACTCGTGTCCCTGCAAAGTACAGGTACGGTGAGGCATGTTTGTAGACGTGGTCACAGTCACACCCCGCCCGTGATGTGTGATTCCGCAGCATCTTCCATCACGTGACGGACAGGACCGCCAAACTCCTAGAATCCGAGCTGGCCTCGTGACCCGCTTTTACCAACAGAGTGCGGGAAAAACGGCACTGCGCCAGTTCCGCGTCTGCCTCCAGAGGACTTGCACGTGAACGGTCGGGGCCAGCCCACGGGAGGATGGGACACTGCATGGAGCAGAGACGAACGTCCCTGCCGAGGCCACTCTAACCAGCCGGCCCCAGTGACCTGACAGCTCACCGCAGACCCCGAGCGAGCACGACCGAGCCAGAGCCGCCGTCCATCTGGCTGAACCAAGCCGAACTGCCGGCCCACAGAATCAGAACCTAAATAAATGCGTGTTCAGAAGTGGTTTGTTGGGCGACAGAAACTAACTGGCACACATCAAGCAACCAAATCCATTACCCTCTTTTACCCATTACCCATTATTTACCCACCATTACCCATTATGCTCAGACTACACGTTGACCCTGTGTATCTTCAAAAATCCTCTACACACGTGAGCACATGACACCCCCCCATCACTTTCCCATGTAGCTAGATAGTCATACACTCAGGCTACGATATCTTTCACGTAAATAACTAGGTTTTCTTCAGCTCCTTCCTCAGCAGTAAGTTATCTGGCCAAGCCAGGGTTTCTGCTCCCTCTGAATTGTCCAGGCACCTGCAACAAAGCTGTGCATGCAGCTGGTGCTCGTGGCCCGTTCTGATGGGAAAGCTGGGATACAGGCAGAGAAATGGGGAAATCCCGGCTCTTACGCCATTATATATCCGGGGAGTGTCACTGCAACACCCCCAACCCCAGCCCCCGGGGTAGGAGACACCTTACGATGAAAGCCCCTTTGGCACTTTACAAATGTTTTCATTGCTCAGTAATAGACTGCTGGGTCTGAAAGGCCAGGCTCAACTGCACAGGGGCCTGGCACTCTGGAGACGGAAAGGCAGCCTTCCACGCACGGCCTGCTACTGGGGCTGGTTCAAGAGCAGCCGGTGGACTCTGACCTGTGCGGCTGGAATACAAGAGCCAAGAGCCCTGCAAGGAGCATCTCTGTAAGAAGAATGGTGGCCACAGAGACAATGGATTATTAAGAGTAATCTTTGCAAAAGATAAATGGAACGCATCTTTCAGAGATTTACCCTGACATATTTCAGAGATGAAACATACGACATCTGGGATTTACTTCCAAACAACACAGGAAGGGAGATGAGGACAGAAGGACAAACGAAACAAGGCTGAAGTTTGGGGATGGCCCTCAGGGATTCACTGTGCTGTTCCGTCTGCCCAAGACTGTTCACAGCGCTCCATGGCAGAGAGCGTTCAAGAGAAGTCAGGGGTAGGGGGAGACGGACAGACATCTCTCCAGCACCTGTTACCTTCCAGGCACGGTCTGGTGCCTTCCTTATGCTGGTTATTCAAATAATTTTCACCACAAGCTTTTCCAAGAGTTATTATTGCCTCACTTTACAGGTGAGGAAACTGAGGCTCAGGGATATTAAGTGACAAGTCCAAGTAACGCAACTAGTAAATGGTCGAACGAGACTCACGCTGGAATCTGAGTGCCTCCATGCGCTAGACCAGCCTGGTCCACGTTCAGTCACCGTGGCGGCGTCTCTGCTCTGCTCCACGCGCCCTGACTCATCAGGGACCACATGAAGCCACTTAGATCTGCCCCCCACGGCTTGGCCAGTACCTTGTCTGTGACGAGGGGCAGCCGCATGCTCTCCAGCTGGCCGCCGGGCTGGCTGAAGACGAAGTGGTGCTCCTTGGACTTGGGGATGATGAAGTGGAGCTGGACCTCCTCTCCTAGCATGGAGTAAGAGAAGGCAAAGGCGTGCAGGCTGGACTCATAGAGCTGCGGTGCGAGGGGAGAGGACAGAGCTTGTCATCAGGGTCCGCCTTGCTTCCCAGAAGGTCCCAGGCCCGTCCTGCCATGACACCACAGCCACCTCCATCCCACAGCACGAGAAACCCACGGCATGGCTCCAGGGCAAAGCACAGACGCCCAGGCCTGGCAACGGGGCCAGCATGCCCAAGGCTGCGTACCCAGCAGAGCCTGCTCCGTCCCCAACCCCGATGGTGTGGCCCCTAGCCGTGCCATGCAGGCACCAAGCCCTCTGGATCTGACCCGGCCCCGCTGTGGGTCACCAACTGAAGCATTCGCACTTTAATTCTCACATACGTATTTTTCTATCATAGTTATCACGCGCAGCAGCACAGGAGTAAGATGACGACTTACTTGTCTGCTTGCACCCTTCCGTCTGCTTGCACCCTTCCGTAACACTGCACGCCAGGCCCTGCTCTGTCCCTTTCGTGTTGCGATTAACAGTCCTGGGAGTGGGTACTGTCACCATCCCCACTGTGTAGGGGCGGAAACTGACACTCAGAAGTCTTAGGCTCACTCAGTCTTAGTCTCCTGTCCCCAAGTCTAACAGCACTTTAGTTACTTCCTCCAGTCTCCACTTACCAGCCATCCCCCACTGTGGTCTGTGCACAGGCTGCTCTCGCGTGTGGCCTGCAGCCCGGCCTTGCACGCCCATGGGTGTTCTTTCGGGGCCCTCCCCACTGACAGCCCTCCCAGCACGTGCTCTGGGCTGCAGAAAGGCAGACCTGCACACAGTGGCCTTGAACCCCCGCTGTGGCTACAGCCACATAGCCCTTTGCAGCAGAGATGAGGGAGAGAGAGCTTTCGCTTGGGGAGGGAGCAAAGGAGGATGCAACTGAAAAGTTTCGTAGAAAAGGTCAGGGGAGCCCTGGGACGTGAAGGCAACGGGAGCAGCATGAGCAGAAGCACAGAGGTGTGGACAAGGCAGCCAGGATGTCACGCACCCTCCACGTCCCTTGCCAGTTGGTTCCAAGCCCCTGCACCCCCCAGGTGTGCTCCCTCTCTGACTACGGTCCCCCAGACCTGAGCACCCCCTGAACACAGGCCAGGTGTGGCCCAGCTGCCCAGGGCACAGGCTCCCGGTCCCTCCTGCCCTGCACTCTGCCATCAGTTAATGCAGCCCGAGGGCACGATGCCACGAGTCACTGCTGATGCTTATTGAAATGATGAGGACTTACATTCCTCGAGTACTTTTCAATTCCCTAAGTTTCAAAATCAGGAGAACGTCTTCACAGATATTTTTTTCTGCCTTGAAAGAAAAACTCTGTCTCCAAGAAGAAAGTTAGGAGAGCTTATCTGGGACAAATTGGATTATTGATTATTTTGGTCCTTTAAATAATTGTCCCTAGGCCCTTAGTAAGTTCATCAACAGCAAAACTACACACTTAACAAAAATTAGTATGGAGGAAGACAGGGGCTACTTCCTTGGCAGCCCAGCTCAAGGCCGGGCAGACTTGGAGAATTGAAGCCTCTGGCTGCCGTTTCCCTCTGCAAAAAGGATGGAGAGAGAGGCCAGTGCTCAGGCCTTTTTGGAAGCAGCCAGAACATCGGCTGTCCCACCCGCCTCGCTCCCCGGCCAGGTGTCTGACTGGCTCCCACCGGCTCCGGCTCTCTCCCTCCTCCCCTTTTCCCCTGAGTCTGAAAGGAAGCACTAAGTGTAAGACGATGCCTTCCGTTTATCAACAAGCAGCCTCGCAGGCCCCTGCACGCCTCCACGTGGCTGTTAAGACGCTAGTCAAAACGGCAGCTTTGCCCGAGCCTGGCTCTTCATGCTCACTGCAAAAGTCCCCATCCCTCCTCACGGTGCCGGGCCTTGGTCGGGTCTGTGCTGGCCCTTCCAGCCTCGTGGCCTGAGTCTAGCCGCCCCGCACTCGGCTCCAGCGACACCCAGCACAGGTCACTCCCCATCCCCAAGACCCGGCCTCCCGCCTCTGCACAGGCCTTCAGCAAATTCTTACCGATGCTTCCACATCCTCTCCTCTGCTCCCCGCCCAGACAGGATTTCGGTTATAAAACGGGGACGACGAGGCTTTAGTGTGAAATGAGAAGCTGGACGGGACAGTTCCTAACCCGTGCACCCTGAGTGGATCATAGGTGTGGCTTCCAGTGACCAGCCAGGGCTGAGGACTGCCGGGGCCTGAGTAGGTAGCCCTGTGCATTTCTGTGTGTCCAGGAAAAATATATTCTGCCTCGCAAAAAGGCTGGGAGGGACTGATCTGTAAAACGTGCCTGGGCACCCTGCCTGGCATGCAGTAGGTGCTCAATGAATGCAGAGTCCTCCCCTATCCGTACAGTTCCTACGCTCTTTTTGCCTCCTCCACGTACGTGGTTCTGAAGTTCTGCTGCCCTGCACATCTCCCTCCCAGACTAGTCTTGAGGACGGGGACAAAGCGCACCCATCTCTTTCGTCTCTGCGGTCCCTGCGCCTGGCACGACGTACGAGGCACTCAGCGAGCGTCTGCCGCTCCGACTGGCTTCCAAAATCGCCAGGACCGAGAGACGACGACGACCTCCACAGCCAGGAAACCCAGCCACTGATAAGCCCGCAACCCCAGGACAACCCCTGTTCTCTGGTGCCAGCAATAATTTCAGACTATTGAAGGGGACCGAGGATGCAAGCAGAGCAGAAGCAAGGGCTTCCAGAACTCTCCATCCCCCACACTCTGGAATGAAAACACGAAAGAAGAGGGGAGCAAGCGTGAGCCGGCGAGGCCTGGCCCCGGGGCCTACCTGGTAGCGAGGGTGGAAGCCCATGTACTGGTGGCACTGCTCGCAGTGGTGGTACGTGTTATACGCCGCGTACTTGGACAGCCTCATCCGCGCCGTCTGACGCCGCATGTAAAGGTCCTCTGGCTTCCGGGACGGCCCTCCGTCTGCACAGATACCCCAGCGTCAACAAGCAGCAGGAGGCAAAGCAGATATTCCACCCCTGCCTGCTCACACCCACCAAAACTAAAGGGAATGCCCCAAATAACCAGGCAATGGCAGGACTCTGTGTGGTCACCAAGGGTGGCCTCTCACCGACCCGGGCCCTGGGGGGAGACGGCTGGGCAAAGGAAACACAAACTCTCAGTGGGATAAACCGATGGACTGTTCACACGGTGTCTGCTTGCAGACCTAAAAACGTTCTATCAACACCTATTTAAGGAGCCACCACATGACAATTTAAATCAATTGTCGGTGCCATCAATTGCAATACTTAACATGCAAACACCATATTGCAGGTGACTTGCCCCTGTGTTTCAAATGGCGTGGCAGGATTAAGGTCAGCACTAAGCCAACGAGGAGGAGCCCAGGGAAAGGGTCTGCTCTGAAAGCAACGAAGATAAAGCTGTTGGTCTAAACTGCGGACTGGTGAGTCTCCCCTTGTGTTTGCCAGACTTTTCTAGCACACGTTATCATCACGGCGGCCCCTGCCACGCCACGGAGCACCGCACAGACACAGCCCCGTGGACGTCCGGGGTCTGGGAGGCAGGGAGAAAGCGGGAAGCCGAGCAAGGAGAGGGAACACGTGTACCCACTCTGTCACGACAACTCCAAACTCGTAAGGAAACATACACGTCTCCTATCCTCTATTAACCAGAGCCTGCGGGAGACTCCGACCGTGACAAATGGGCAGGTGTGTTGTCGCTACCATGCGTGCCTCCCGAGCAGCATGTCTTTCATGGGTCCGTGGCGGTCCCTTGCTCGTGCAGGGAGGGGTGGTCTCGGTTCTGCACCAGGTCTCGAGGGTCGATTCCCCACGACCAGACTTCATTCCTAACACGACTCAGCGCCCCCCTTCAGAGGCTCTGCCCGAGCACTCTGGAAGGAGCCGGAACAAGACACGCGGAAGTCTGACCTTCGCTCTTCACACGCTGATGGTGGGAACAAATCAGGCTGGCGTCGTCGTACTTGGGGTCGTGAATGATGTAGTCGAAGGGCAGCTTCTTGAACAGCTCCAGGTCTGGCCAGGAGTCGCTGAGCTGCACGTAGTGCCAGTCTGCGTCTTCTCTGAGGTCTACAAGGTCGGTAGAGACACAAATATGTGACAAAATAGGAGGTAAAAATGATTTACTGTCATGTGTCCCTTAACAGGACACGTCCTGAGAAAATGCAACGTTAAATGATTTTGTCATTGTGCAAACCTCACAAAGTGTACATACACAAACCTAGGTGGACAGCCTACTACACACCCAGGCTGCTCACCTGCACAGCACGTGACTGTACTGAGTACTGTCGTCCACCGTGACACAGGTAAGGATTCGTCTATCTAAACATGGATAGTAACAATGCGATAAAAGGGCACTTACCATGAATGGAGGTTACAGGAACGGAAGATGCCCTGGGTGAGTGGTGAGTGAATGTGACAGCCCAGGACATTACTGTACAGTACTATGGACTTTATAAACACTGCACGCTTAGGCTACGCTAAATTTATAAAAAAAAATCCTTTCTTTAATAATAAACTATCTTAAGTTTGCTGTAATTTATTTACTTTATAAACTATTTTTTTTTTTTTTTTGAGACAGAGTCTCGCTTTGTTGCCCAGGCTAGAGTGAGTGCTGTGGCGTCAGCCTAGCTCACAGCAACCTCAAACTCCTGGGCTCGAGTGATCCTTCTGCCTCAGCCTCCCGGGTAGCTGGGACTACAGGCATGCGCCACCATGCCCGGCTAATTTTTTATATATATATCAGTTGGCCAATTAATTTCTTTCTATTTATAGTAGAGACGGGGTCTCGCTCTTGCTCAGGCTGGTTTTGAACTCCTGACCTTGAGCAATCCGCCCGCCTCGGCCTCCCAAGAGCTAGGATTACAGGTGTGAGCCACAGCGCCCGGCCTATAAACTATTTTTTAACTACTTGACTCATTTGCAATTACACTTAGCTTAAAACAGCAACACACTGTACAGCTGTATAGAAATTGTTTTCTTTATTTACATCCTCATTGTATAAGCTTTTTTATATGAAAAACATTTTTTTTAACTTTTTAAACTTTTTGTTAAAACCTAAGACACACACACGCATTAGCCTAGGCCTACACAGGGTCGGGATCATCAATATCACTGTCTTCCACCTCCACATCTCGTCCCACTGGAAGGTCTTCGGGGGCAGTGACATGCATGGAGCTGTCATCTCCTGTTTTGCCCCAAGATGTGGACCTATGTGCTCAGCTGCCCACGTAGGAAACCTACTGAGGGGTGAGTCTGCTTTCTAGAGCCGACAGTCACAGCTAGTTCAATTCCAGCTGTGCCACGCCCCAGCCTGGCTCCCGAGCACATGGCCTCCCAGCAAAGGGGAATAACAATGTCAGTCTCACGGCATGGCACAGGGGACTTATGCAAAGTCTCCAGCTTTACATTTTATGTAATTTTTGCAAAGTAGCTAGCTCAGTGCCTGATGCACGGAAGCCACTCAGTAGCCATTACTCCCGTAATCTTATCCCCACAGAGGCCCCTGGGCACTACGCTGGTGCTGAGCAAGACGACTGCAAGGAAAGGATAAATAGCAGCCCTCCCAGGCCCCGAGACGGGTCTGATCGTGAATCCGAGGATTCCGTCTAGAAAGTGTGACGCAATGAAAGTCGCTTGAGAAAGTGACAAAGGCTCGGACGCCTGAGTGTCGCCAAGCAGATAACTCACCGATGTTGATCTCTTCCTCGTCGTAAACATCCACTTCCGTCAGCCGGATGAGCATCCTGGACAGGATGCTGAGGAACTGCAGGTAGGCGCCCGTCTTCCCGATCTGCGGGCACGCGGACGTCAGAGCCCGCGGTTAGGAATCCCGTCCACGGCCAGGCGCGGGCCGAGCACCTGACACCTCGCGCATCCGCCTCACCTACACATCCCGCCGTTAAAACAAGAGCCCGTGGACGCGCAGACAGCGGAGGGGAAGCGTGGCCTCCAGGAGCCTGGCGGGCGGACAGGTGGACTCCCGAGAGCAGGAGGCCTGCCTGCTTATACGCCCTTGCAGATGCACCTGATTTTAACCAGATTTCAGCCACCCATGGGCGTTAAGCTGTTACAAATAGGACTTTATCCCAAGCTGAAGAAAGCTTTCTTAAAAAAAAAATGCACTGACATGTAAAGCATGATGTCTTAACCTTTTGCACTCAGATGTCGAGTGTGAGACCCGACATTAAAATTACTCTTTGAATGTATCAATGATTTGAAATATAAAAAAATCCAAATAAATAAGTTTATATAAAAAGAAACTCCAGTTTTTTATTCTACTGCTGGGGAGGGCTGAGAAGGGGAAGCAGAGCCCCACCTCCCTGTTAACAGGACACCAGACCTTCCAGGGCAGAACCGGGAGTCGAGTTTCTGACCGTCAGAGAGCGTGCACAGCACACGGGGGCCACGTGATATAACACGGGAAGGCGGAATTGCAGCCTGAAGGTATGAGCAGCAGCCAGAGATGTCTCCCTGCCCCAACCCACCCACACAAAGGAGAAATGGAAGTCACTCAAGCTCCCGCCCGCCCTGGGCCATCAGAGAAAATCCCGCCACAGGAATGGCAAAATGAGAAGTGGGTACCGCCCGCCCCAAGCCTGCCTCCAGGTTTGAGCACGAGGCTGGCGCAGGGATGGGGGGCCACGGGAGGACACACACCTGCGGGGGCCCGCTGAGCAGCAGCCTGCGGGGGTGGAAGCCGTCCACGCGGCCCTCAGCCCGGTTGCCATAGTCCATGTGGCTGGGCCGGGGCACCGTCCACTGCCGGTAGTAGAGGGACTGCTCCGTGGAAGTCATGGTCTTGCTGAGCAGGGGCCGGAAGGAGCTGGCCCACATGACCGAGTGGGAGGGCAGGAGTGAGGCGGCCTTGGGCAGGCCGCTGCCGTCGGTGGACATGACCATGTCGTACACGAGCTTGGGCAGGAAGACGACAGGTGGCTGCTGGCAGGCCTTGGTCATGGAGCACTGGGAGGCCTGCAGGACGAGCATGCCCGCGGCCGGCGCCACCGAGGAGGACGAAGAGCCCGAGGAGGACAGCTGGGAGGACGACGAGGTGGCCGACGCCTGGACGCCCCTCTGGGAGCCGGGCCTTAGGCCACAGTCAGGCTGAGGCGCCAGCCCGGGACTGTGTCTGCTGAGCACTGGTGCTGGCCCCTGTCCCGCCCGCGGCCTCAGTTTCTCGCCTGGGGCCCTGCCCTCTTCTGAAGGGCCGCAGGGCTGGGGCGACCTGGCCTGCTCCATCTGGGGGGGCCTCGTGGGCTGGGCCGAGGCCTCGCCGAGGAGCGCTGAGCCTGAGGAGAGACGGACCTGGTCAGGCATGTCCCAGGGATGACCTGGCCAGAACACACCGGCCCCACCTGTTTCTGCCACTCCCGTCTCTGCCCCAGGCTCCCTGTGCTGTTTTGGGCAACAGATACCGGTGGCCACAGTTTTCTGAGTGTCCCTGAGCCTATGCCTCGGAGCTTCTTTCCGTCAGAGCTCCAGGCCGGGCTGAGGAGGCCCGTGCTGACCCATCGGGGGTGCCTGTGGGGGAGGCCCCACCGCTGGCTCACTGCCCTTCACGGGCTGCCCCAGATGCCCCCAGGCCAAATCTCCTGGGGGGCTCTGACCTCCCCTGGCCCCAATCCAAACAGCATGGACTCTCAGCCGCCCCCAGCCCCAGCCAGGCCCCCACCTGCAGGCTGGACGGCCACCTAGACCACGCCCTGCGTCCACGCCCTGCGTCCAGGCCCTGCGTCCAGGCCCTGCGTCCAGGCCCTGCGTCCACGCCCTGCGTCCACGCCCTGCGTCCACGCCCTGCGTCCAGGCCCTGCATCCAGGCCCTGCGTCCACGCCCTGCACGCACTCATGCCCCAGCCTCTCTCTGCCCGTGAGGATTCCTCCGCCTGGAACTCCTCTTGCCAGGCCCGGGCCAGGTCAGCCGCTCTCTGAAACCTGGGGTGACCACACCTGTCCCGGAGTCCGCCCTCCACTTGGGGCAAAATTAATTACGTCTTCACATGTGGAACCGTGATGCTTCATGTGTGTGAAAAACTCCTGAGAATCATAAATTCCTTGAGGCAGGGTCTGTGTCTCATTCATCTTTCGATGCCCTGACTCAGATATAAAGTAGGCTCTCGATACATGCTTTTGGCAGGAGGAGGGGACGTTGTTTAAAGGACACGCGCCCTAACTGTTCTCCAGACCAAGGGACGCCGCAGGGCAGAAGCCGCGCGAGGCCTTTTACCCACACTGCCCACTGCCGCCGCCAAAGCGGGTCCCGGGCAAGGTTCATGTGCTCTCGCTGCCTTTTGTTGCTTCTCCCCGACGAAGTCTTTCGTGTCTAATTCTCTCAACGAAAACACCCTGTCCTCACACCCCTCCCCAGGGCAGAGTGACTTCCCGACCCAGCAGCTTCGGGGAGAGGCCCGAGGGGGTCCCCCAGCACGGCCAGGACTCTGCTGTGGCCCAGCCACGAGAGGGGCAGCGTCCACAGCTGTCCCCTGAGAACGGGGCGGCCGAGCCCTTCCACCCTGCCCAGAGGCCCCAAGGTCCTAGAGCCCAGGTTCCCCGAAACATTGACCCTCCGGTGAGTCTGGGTCTTCACAGATTCCTTCTTTCCAGCTCTGACGGAAAAACAAAGGGTCAGCAAACAGCCCCACACAGGTTTCCCTTCGTTCTCTGAACCCTCAGAGAACAGTCTTGGGGAGACTCACCGGACGCCTTGGAGGAGAGGGACGAGGACGCGGAGTCGTGGGAACAGGATCGCTCCCTTTTCACGGGGCTTCTCTTCTCCGAGGTGGAGCCTGCTTCAAAACACACACACTGTCCCTTACATTTGCCGGGAACTTTACAGTTTGCATTCACACCAATCATCTCTCTCCACCCACTCGTTCATTCGTCTGCCGTTTCCCGGGCACCCGGCACTGCGCAGACAGGCCCAGCGAGGCGCGGCCGCAGACGGTGGACGAGGTGGGGGACAGGGCCGGGCAGCCCGGAGGCAGGAGCGGGGAGAACAGCTGCAAGCGCTGCCGTCGGCCTGGGTCCTGACGGGCACAGGGGCTCCCAGGTGACACAGAGAAGGGAGAAGCCGACGCGGCGGGAAGAGCAGCCTCACGGCCCACAGGTGAGGAGGGCGGCCCGGCCACCATTGCCGGTTTAGTGTGGGCAAGTGCGTCGGGCTGGGGGCTGACAGGTGCGGACAGGGAATCTAAAAGGAGGGTCGTGAGATGCCAGGGAGTCGTGCCTCGGCCCCAGGGAAATGGCAGCGTCTCGTGTCAGGCTTGTGGTGGCGTCTCTGAAAGATGGCCGTGGGCGGGCAGATCCCTCCAAGCCCCATTTTACAGACAAATAAGCTGAGGCTAGGAGAGTTCCCATGGTTGGGAGACAGAGGAGGGCGACTATAGGCCTGGGCTGTGACCACGTCCATCTCTTTCAGCCCTGCCACACTCCACAACTGCTTTGTACTTATTGTACAAAGTACTTATTTGTACTTTTTATTTTTTCTTGCCACACTGTTGACTACAGCCAAATGCCTTACAATGTTCTCATGCATGTGTCCCATTAAAAATATGGTATCAGATTTTAAGAGCCTGCAAACGAAACCAGCCTGTTCTCATACATCTCAGTAATGGACAGCACACTGTCACAGGGAAATAAGCAAATCTTACACCAGGTAGGATTCCATCAACAATATGAATAAAGCATGCATGCACTTGAACTCTAAGAAATCTCGATTTTTCTTCCTATTCTTTAAGAATTTTAGAACGAAGAAGAACCTACAGGGATTTCCATCTTCTCACGCCACCAGACAGGAAGGGGGAGGGAGCCAGACCTGAGCTCAGTGAGGGCTCTGCCGTCTCCCTCATCAAAGACCAGAGAACTCCCGCCCCGAGCGGCTGCCCAGCAGACAGGCCCAGGACCTAGCAAGAACTGAGACCACACGCCCCGGAACCTCCCTTGCCTGGCCCGCGGGCACGCAGCACGCACAGAGCCGCTGGCCTAAGTGCGGTGTGGCCCGGTGGAAGAGCCTGACAGCTGTCGACACAAGTCCAGGCGGCTTCGGAGAGCAGAAGCCGAGGAAGATGTGCCGGCAGGGACTCCTGGCGGAGGGCCAGGCCACCGCTCACCTTCCGTCCCCAGCTCCTCGTCCTCGTTGTCGGTGCTGCTCAGCTTCTCCGCGTCACTCTCCAAGGCCTCGTTCCCAGCCCCCTTCTCCAGGGGGACCTCGCTGCTCACAAAGTACGCGGCCAGGCCCAGCTCCTGCTCCAAGGCTGTTCTCACCAGGCACGAGGAGTTTATCAAACGCAGGTCACAGTAGCGCAGAGACCTAGCCGGACACAGAGGAAGGCATTTATCGCGTGCCTTCCACAGGTGCTGAAGGCAGTGGTGACCAGGGCCGCACCCTGCCTTCCGCACTAGGACCCTGGGACTCCTGTGAACGGAAAGGCCAGCAGCTCTGGGGGCACCTGCCGTGCACTTAGTCCTGTGCTGCAATGACCTCCGGGTCAGACAAAAGCAGGGCTTGGAGCCCAGCTCTGCCGCTTCCTAGTGATGGGACTCTCGACAAGCCGCACAGCTTCTCTGAAGCTCTGATTTTTTCCATCATATGGGAATGTATAATGGCTATCTAAGTGCATTGCTGTGAAGATTAAATGGCAGTAAGTGGACATTTAATTAGTCAATCAACATTTAACATGTGCCGGGGTAGTAGATGCTGGGATGTGATGGCAATCGAGGTGACACCAACAAGGAATGACATCTGTGAGCAGCAGAGAAAGGAACCCCCTGGGGTCCTGCAGTAGAAACACAACAAAAGCTCAGGGCTTGGAGGAAGCAGATGCGGGTTCCAATCGGGCTCTGCAACTTACTGCTCATGTAACCTTAGCAGGTGACCTTTCGCTTACTCAACTATAAAACAGGAGGGTGACACCACTGCTGCACGGAACAAGTCCTATGTTAAAAGACTAGCACAGACCACAGCAATTGGTACAAAGAAGGCACTCAGTAAATGCTAAGACTTGAAATAGATTAAGACATTATCTTAAGTCCTTTAAGGAGTTGAGGAATAGAAGAATTAATCCATGTAGAACAACAACCACCAAGATCAAATGTTCCAGAGCCTCCCTTAACTGGCCCGTGAGCACGCAGCACACACAGAGCCACTTGCTTGAGTGTGGTGTGGCCCGGTGGAAAGAAGTCACCGCTAGCTTCTCTCAGTAAGCCTCAGTTTCTTCATCAGTAAGATGGGACTGCTGAAATGCTACCTTTCCCCAGGGTTAAGGTGAGAATGAAATGAAACAAAGCATATAAGAAGAACCTAGAACGGTGCTCAGCACCTAACAGGAACTCAATCAACGTCAGCTCTTAACGTCCTGTTACACGGGACAGATGTGCGAAGGCCCCGCTGCCTGTCCTCCCCCACGGGTAAGTATTTGAAAGCCATCCTGTCACTACTAATCCAAGCGACTGCCTTCCAGGAGGCCCAGGGACTCCTGCCCTGAGTGGCTGTCTGTGTGGAGGCCTAGAGGCCACCGGGACACCCTGAGCGACGTGTGGCTGAGATCTCCAGGGCTGTGAGGGCGTCAGAGGAATGCAGGCTTTGAGACAGTCCCCTCTTTGTGCTGGAAGAACCAGCTCTTCCCAAGCAGCTGCTGCTGTCCCCCTTCCCAGCACACCTCGTAAGCCGGGTGGGACCCCCTCGCAGCAGCCTAGGTGGCAGCAGGAACTGCAGCTCTGAGCCCTGGAGACGGTGCGACCCTGTCCTAAATGCCGCCAGCCTTCCCTGACACACAGCCAGCTCCTCCTGGGGACACTGAGCTCAGGAGGCGTGAAATCCTAACCCCGCTGCAGGGCCTCCACCCACGCAGCCAACAGCAGCCCCGCTATGAGCCCAAACATGGAGACTCCATGAGTCAGGAAAAGCTGCCTGTGGCTCAGATGCATTTCACCGCCCTCTGCTGGGAAACTGTCGCAATGAACACACAGCCCAGGATGCCTATGAGTGCGAATAGCACCACCTGCAGTCAGTCAGCGGTCGCCCAGCCTGGCACACTAGCCGCAGCTGGGGCCCAAGCAGCTGGCCCCTGGAAGACCGCCAGGGGCGTAAGCCCCTCCGTCCACTCACCTGGGCAAGGACTCCCCGTGCGGGTCCATCCCACTGAAGATGAGGATGCAGGGCAGGCCCTCCAGCTCCAAGTACGTCTGAGGTCTCCACTCCGCGTCCTCGATCTTCTGCCACATCTGCAGATAATTAAAAAGAAACAAAGCCATGAGACTGCTTACTTCCCAACCGGCCCAGCCCAGGGGACCTTGGCGTCCTCCCACTGATCTGAAGCCCTCACAGTCAGTCCTCTGACAAAAGGGGAAGCTCTTCATGCTGCACAGCAGCTCACTGTCCACTTCGCCGCTGTCCTTCCAGCCGCCCAGAACACATCCTGGTGCTCAGGGGTGTGTGACTGGCTGATGCTTTGGGAGAAAGTACATGTCCTCAATTGATCCTAATCTCTTCTACTTTGTCCTCTCAGGATGGTGTTACGCCTTTCATACTTTCCCCTTCGTTTATTCTCTATTCCTTCCCTAACACTTTTGCATTTTCTGTCACCTGCAGGCTCAGTAAGAACCCACTGTGGGCCAGGCACTGTGCTAGGCTTTGCAGGGCTGAGATCGGTTGGGGTGGCCCTGTCCCCCAGGGGGAAGCAGTGGGGTGACAGGCGGGGACCACCACCAGCCCTGGTGGGCGTTGGAGAGGGAGCCGAGTTCCGCAGCCAAAGCTGTCAGCTAGACAAAGACAAGCAGAAACGTACCCTCAGAAAGCAAGAAAGCCATGCCGCAACCCAGAGGACCGAGGTGGCAGGGTAGTGTCGCAGGCAGGGGTGCTGCCGGGCTGCAAGGGTGCCCAGGATGGCTGGCCCTGTTAAGGAGCGTGTTTGCCCCTCCCTTCGCCTCATGGTCCCCTGGGCGGGTCCCCAGGCGTCCCGAGGCCCTCCCGCCCCTGCGCACAGCGCCCCGCCGACCTTGAGCTGCTTCACGAAGTGCTTGCCCACGGTGATGCCGGAGCTGGGGGAGCCCAGGATGATCTCGAAGTGCTCCTCCAGCGCCAGGCGCGCGCGCACGTGGGCCAACCGCTCGTAGGCCACGGCGGCCAGCGGCGAGCAGGGCACGCGCAGCAGCACCATCAGCCCGTGGCCGCAGGGGCACTGCTTCGGGGAGCTGAGCAGGTTCTGCGTGATCTCCAGCGTCTCCACCGACGTGTAGTTCTTCATCTGCGGGAGGCCGCTCACGGCCATCAGCGCGGCGGCGTAGTGCTGCACGAGAACAAAGGTCCTGATCACCGCGCTGTGCAGGCGGGGGAACCTGCAAGGAACACAGAGACACGGCGCCGTGACCGCCTCGCTCCCACCCAGCGCCCCGCACCGCGCCCCGCGCCGCCAGCGCGCCAAGGTGCCTCGCTGTGCTGTGCGCAGGCTGCTCCGCAATAGGAACGAATGAACGGCGGGGCTGCCCTCAGAAGCTGGTTGGTTGTTGGAACCCCAGTTAGAGGCCTCCCTTAGAAACCAAATGTTTTTTCCAGCTGGGAAACAAATGTTTGTTGTTGCTGTTGTTTCTTCTGTGTTTTCTACTTGGCACTTAGGAGCTGCTCAATAAATGTTTGTTCAAAGAGCAAACAGATGAATGAACGACATAAAGCCTGTTCAGTCCATACCAGCTTCAGGTACAGTTGCCCTGAGGCGGCAGTTAACTTGCCCCAGGTTCCCCCTGGGTACAGGAGAACCGCCAGCATCCACTATCCCCCAGGTTTGGGGAGACAGTTCTGAAGGTGCATTTCCCTTACAGTGAGTTGTTAGAAATATGATTAAACGTAACTTGACAGATGAATTACAAATCAGATCACATCCAGCCAAACCAGGAATCCTAGTTTTTGCTTCAAAATCTATGGTCACCAGGTGTGTCCCCACGCAAAGGTGGTGGCCGCCCCTACAACCAATGTACCGCTAGAGTGGCTCTGAGCCAGGCGTCAGAAACAGACCCCAGGGCACCAGTGGAAAAACCCAGGTCGCTGTTTATCACTGCATTTCTCAGCAGGAATAAATAAATTGACAGCCAGTTTATAAACAATGCTCTTTTGAATTTACTTAGCTGGAATGAGTCCCCCTGACTCAGTGGCTTCTTGGAGCAGACAGAGTAGTTTCTTGACCTACAAAGAGCCATACCATGACCATGCCACTCTGTGCAGTCTCTCAGGGCAGCCAGCTCACCTTCCAGCAGCATCTCTGATAGCACCAGGACATTGCCCACGCCTTCCCACCCACCCTCCTGCTTTGCTTCCTGCCTCCCCGAGCGCTGCAACTGCTCGGTGGGTTATTTCAACTGGAGGCTGCCTGGCAACTTGCCATTACCAGTGCTGTCGCAGGAAGGTCTAACTGGTCCACAGATTCCAACATGAAGGGCTCAGTGGCCCAGGGAGTGCTTTGCCTATCCCTGGTACACTAGCCAAATAATGCCCAGCAAGAAAAGAGAGATGAGTTCTACTCAAAGGACAAGCAAGACAGAGTAACAGGGATCAGATACATCCTCTCACCTGAAACAAACGAAAATCTGGACAAACACAGCAAACAACAGCGTTTCAAGACATGGGATACGAGGCAGTGAAAGGCAGGGATCCTGAACTGTGTGAAACTAATTAGGCAAGCTCCCAGCTCGTGCCTGGAAGAAGTTTCTGGGATGCACTCTGAACTGGGGAACGTGGGCAAAGGTTAATGGTCTCCCTGAGTTGGGGAGAGGTATTGGAGTCCAGGGAAACCACGGCAGGTAAGACCACAGGGCAAAGTGCCAAAGAGGAGAAAGCTGCATAGACACAGAACTCCAGAGACCTGCAGAGGGTCCCACTCAAGTAGTGATCAGTGCGTGTATGTAAGGAGACAACCCAAGGCCAAACAGAGAATCTCTGGGTTGCAAAAGGTTTGAAGGGAACACTGTCTCAAGCTCATGTGGGGCCGAGAATAGTTCTTGTTCCCACAATCAGTGAGAGGGCCTCAGAGCCATGGAACACTGAGTATTTACTCGGAGTGCTTTGCTTCAGTAATGAGCAAAGTTACACCAGATTAAATACTGCTCTGGTCCTGCCTAACAAAGGACCTGGAAGGATTAAACTGTTTCCAAGTAACTTAATTGCATCCCAGAATAAAACTCAAGATTTAGAGGGATTTATAGGAATACAAATCTATCCAGCACCAAACAAGGTAAAATTCACCACGTCTGATATCCTCCCAAAGATTACCAGGTATGTAAAGGAGCAGGAACATATGACCCATAATAAAGGGGGTGGAGGGAATCAATCAATAGAAATTGGCCCAGAATGACACAGATGACAGAATTAGTAGATAGGAACATTAACATGATTATTGTAACTATATTCTGTGTGTTTAAAAAGCTAGAGGAAGGGTTGAACATGTTAAATGGAGATATAAGAAACACACAAATTCTAAAGATAGAAACTATAATGTCATGGGAAATACACGAGACCCTGAATTCTCATGGGAGCTACTATTGTTTCGGCAAGGTGTACACAGCTAGTGTTACAACTCTTATTGCAGCGCTTGACCAGAGAAAGAACCCAGCGCCAACGGAGAACAGTCTTTATTCCTCCAGCAGGCTCAGCCAACTTCTGCCTTCTGACCCCCCTTCCTTGTTCTCCTCCTGTTTTTATACCCTTGGTAGGACTCAAATCCAATTTAAGTTGCATCCAATCAGCAACAAGCTTTAACATCCAATCAGCAACAGTGGGATTCAAAAAGTGTCCAATCAAGATTGCGAAGTTGGCGCAGGCCGGAGGATAGGAGCAGGCAACAGAGCACCTAGAGAGGCCTGGACAGTTGGCCTCGGCACATGGGTCCGGTGGCATGAGAGGCCCAGCCCAAGCAGCGCACCTGCCACGTCAACTGGCCTGGGGAGGCGGCGAGGAGCAGCAGAGTCCTGGCGCCCAGCAGTTTTCCATGTCACTATATTTATATATGCCCTTGCCCTGCCAGCCACAACAGATAGGTTCAACTATGGAAACCCAACCCCGGATTTTTCAAACTATGAAAAAAGAATCAATCCCTTTCTGGAAGCTACAGATCGTGAGGCTCAGCATCCACCAAGGGGTGCTGCTTTTCAAAAAGCACATGGAGGAAAACAACATAGTCTCAACAGTGTTTTAATAACTAAGCTTTCCTGAAACCAGCTCTCTCTCTCTCTGCTATTCTGTGGTTTATCTATTCAACCTTTCCTTTTATTTCATGAGTCAATACATCCCTCTTTTCTCTCAGAGAGTTCAGGTTGGGTTTTACTTGCAGCAGAGTCCTGATTAATAAATACACACAGTAACTATGTATCACCAATTCATCCCATCACTGCGTTTCTCAGCAGGAATAAATAAATAAAGGTGTATGTACACTGATACATATGCTATCTGAAACTGTTTTATTTCTCTTAGGAATCTTATCATAAAACTACTGTGCTTCTATAAAAAAATAAACTAGGTGAGATTGACAACAGATTAGACATTGCATGAAAAAGGTTAATAAACTTGAAAACAGCAAAATTAAACAGAAAAAATAATGAATCAGGAAGCTATAGAACAACTTCAAGAAGCTATATATATATATGTATGTATGTGTGTGTGTGTGTATAGATAGATAGATTACTCTAAAGGGAGGGTGGAAAAAAATATTTGAAGAAATAATGGCTAAAATATTTTTATATATGAAAACCCAATTAACTCAAGCACAGACATGAAGGACACTGCAATAAGTCATCTCTTAATCAAATTGCCTATAATCAGTGATACATTTTTTAAATTTTAAAAGCAGCCAGTTGTGGGGCATTGATTACATAGAGAGAAAAAAAGAGTGTAGATGATAGCAGGTTTCTTGTCTGAAATAATGCAAGTCAAAAGACAGTGATGCAACATCTTTAATATCCTAAAAAGAAAAAGAAAAAAAAAATCAACCTAGAATTTTATAACCATGGAAAATATCTTTCAAAAATGAGGCAAAATAAAGACTTCTTTTAGACACACAAAAGCTGAAAGATTCACCCAGCAGACCTGCTCTACAAGAACTGTTAAAGGAAGTTTTTCAGATATAATGAAAATGATACCAGATGGAAATCTAGATCTATGCAAAGGAATAAAGAACACTGGAAATAGTAACCATGTGGGTAAATGTAAAAGGTATTTTTCTTATTATTTAAATAGCTTTAAAAGGTGATTGTCTAAGCAAAAATAACATTGTGGAGTTTATAACATGTATAAGTAAAATGTATCCAACAATGTACAAAGCCTAGGTGGAGAGAAATAGAAATATACTATTGTAAGACTCTTACATATTAAGTGGTGTGATATTACCTGAAAGTAGACTATAAGTTAAAGATACATACTGTAAACTGTAAAGTAGCCACTAAAGATTACAACAAAGAGTTATAGCTGAGAGAGATAAAAAAAAATAAAAATAAAAAACAGATGAGACAAACTGCAAGATGGTAGATTTAAACCCAACCATATCAATAACCACATTAAATGTAAACGGTCTAAACACCCCCATTAAAAGGCAGAGATTACCAGACTGAATAAAAAAGCAAGACTCAACTATAAGCTGCCTACAAGAAACTAACTTTAAATACAAAGACACAAAGAGGCTAGGTGCAGTGGCTCATGCCTGTAATCCTAGCATTTTGGGGGATTGAAGCAGGAGGATCACTTGAGGCCAGGAGTTTGAGACCAGCCTGAGCAACATAGCCGAGACCCTACCTCTACAAAAAAAAAAAAAATTGAAAAATTAGCCAGGCATGATGGCACACACCTGTAGCTGCAGCTACTTGGGAGAGTGAGGCAAGAGGATTGCTTGAGCCCAGAAATCTGAGATTGCAGTGACTCATGATGACACTACTGCATTCAAGCCCAGGCAATAGAGACGCTATCTCAAAAAATTAAATAATAGGCTAAAAGTAAAAGGATGGAAAATTATAATCAATGCTAACACTAACCAAAAGAAAGCTGGAATAACAATATTAGTATCATATAAAATGGATTTTAGAACAAAGAATAATATTCTTTGGGTCATTCCATAATGATAAAGAAGTTCATTTATCAAGAGACACTTCATTAAAGGTGATATACAAATGGCAAGTAAACACATGTAAAGATACTCAATGTCATTAGTCATTGGAGAAATTCAAATTAAAACTACAATGAGATACAACTTCACAAATATCAGAATGGCTAAAATTAAAAATACTGACCCTACCAAGTGCTGGCAAAGATGTAGAGCAACTGAAACTGGTGGGACTGTATGAACTACTTTGGAAAACAATTTAGCAGTTTGTTAAAAAGTTAAACATACATCTACCACATAACCCAGCCATTCCATGCCTAGGTATTCACCCAAGAGAAATGAAAGCATATCCCTGCACCAAGACTTGTAATGAATGTTCAGAGCAGCTTTATCTGTAATAGCCAAGACTGAAAAACAACCTAAATGTCTCTTAACCAGAAAAAACGAATATGGCCATACAGTAGTATTCTATTCTAGAATACTAGCTCCCAAAACACACACACTATTGATACATGCAACAATATGAATGAATCTCCGTATAATTATGCTGAGAGAGCTGACAAAGAGTACATAGTGTACAAATAATTTCATTTATATAAAACTCTAGAAAATGCAAACTAATCTATAGTGTGAAAAAGACAGGAGGAAAGACAAAGGGGCAGGAGGAAATTTTTCTTCATTATCTTGGTGAAGATTTACCAGTGTCTACATGTGTCAAAATCCAAACTGAAGATCAGACATGGTGGGTCACACCTCTAATCCTGGCACTCTGGGAGGCCGAGGCAGGAGGATCACTTGAACTCAGGAGTTGGAAACCAGCCTGAGCAAGAGCGAGACCCCCATCTTTACAAGAAATAGAAAAATTATTCCATCCCTCTGTACTACAAAAAAAAAAAAAAAGAAGAAATAGAAAAATTAGCCAGGCATGTGGTATGTGCCCTATAGTCCCAGCTACTCAGGAGGCTGAGGCAGGAGGCTCTTCTGAGCCCAGGAGTTTGAGGTTGCTGTGAGCTATGATGATGCCACTGCACTCCAGCCCAGGGTGACAGAGTGAGTATCTGTCTTAAAAAAAAAAAAAATTGAATAATTTAAGTGTGTGCATTCTACTGTGTGTCAGTTCTTCCTCACTAGAGCTGTTGTGTTTAAAAAAAAAAAGAGAGAGAGTATTTGGAGGCAGAACTAGAGTCCAGCTCCAGACAGCACCCAGCAGTCAGGCACAGAACGGTGCCCAGCTGTGGCTCCGCAGAGACCTAGGCCCACCCTTCAGCCTTTATGGCAAGGCCCTAAAGGATGGCAGCTTCAGAGACAACATACCGGAATGAAAATTAGGATTGTTAAGTGTCTAGATCTTTTATTTTAAGTCGCAGTAGGTCTGTGTCAGGTCTGTAGCCCTACAAGCAGACTCCCCGGCTGTGCGCCGGCGTGTGTGCACACGGTGAACCAGCAGGCTGCCCGCACACGCGGTAGCAAGAGGAGGCGAGCTGCGCTCTTACCTGTATTATCTCCTTCCACTCAAATTACCAGTTTCAAGAGAGTTTCCCAGACACGTGATTCCTAGGAAAGGCAGCAGGGTATGGCAGAAAGAACAGCACGCCTGGCGATAGTGCAGCGTGCCACAAATGGGCTGCGTGAACTTGGGCAAATCTCTCCCCCTCTCTGGGCTTCAGTTCCCACAATTCTAAAGTGAGGTGTTTGGGCTAAATTTCTCCATATCTCACCAACCTAGGGCTTGATATTCTCTTCTCACTTGGCAGAATGCATAAATGTAATCTCTATGCAATATTTCTAGTTCAGTAGAGGGGAAGGGAGGAGAGAGAGGATCGTGACAATGGCGGTGGAGGTGGCAGCAGCCAGCAGGGGCCTGCGATGCGTGCCAGGCACTGCTTCTAGTGGTTACAGGTATTCACTTCATCCTCAGAACACCCCTGTGCGGTAGATATGATCCTCCTCTTACGGAACTGAGCAGCTGTCTGCAAGTCTCACTGCTGGTTAGTGGTTGATCCAGGACTCAACCCCAAGAGGGATGATTCTGGAGCCCTAGCTCTCAGCGTGCAACCGTTACTGAGCATGCACGTGTACTCCATCTCATGAAACGTTCGTAAGCTGCCACTAGGAAAGTGGATTTGTTCTGCAGGTGAGGGTACAGAAGTTTAGACAGGTTAAATGATTTTCCAAGACCAAGACTTATCAGCACAGTGGTCGAGCCTGGCCTTCTTGAATTTGTATTCGGGACCTTGTATGGCTTGGTGGTTATGCAGTTTTGGAGCCAAGTGACAAAGGTTTGGGTCCAGCTTTGCTATAAACTCCCCATGTGGCCTTGGGTAAAGTGACCTAAACTAAGTCTCAGTTTCTTCATCTGCAAAATGGGAACAGCAGAATGTGCTACCTCACTATGCAGCTGTGAGGATGGTTTTAGGCAATAACCACAGAGCACCAAGCCCAGTGTCTACAGCACCCTAAGCACCCCCGTGTGCTTGCTGCCTGAGGGGAAGGCGGGAAGCTGGCAGAGCAAGGACAAAGGCTGGTTCTCAGGGCCTCGATGTAAAATCTCAGAGGGCTTCCTCGCTCAGCAAGTTGATGAGAACTCAAGCTACCACTCCATGAGTTGGAAAACCAGCCTGATTAATCTCTTACCAGAATCACGGATTTGAAAGGTATCTAAGAGCCTTAGTTTCTCAAAGGGTGTTCTGGGGCACACTGATCCCGTGAGATACCTGACATCTCTAGCTGTCCGGAGACTTACAGCACGCATGGGCATGCTAAAGGCTCTGAGAACTCTCACAGAAAAAGAATCCTTTTCTTAAATGTAATGTTTCTCAAACACATTTGACTATGGAAACCTTTTTGGCTTAACAGCCATTAATATCCAGCCAAAGCAGTATACCTTGGAACACAGCTTAAGAAATAGGTGTTTAGTTTAATCCTTTAATCTGCAAATGGGAAGAACGAAATACAATGAGGAGAGGTGGGCAGGGACCGGCTGGTGCCCACGGTCAATGCAGAGCAGCCCTTTTGCTTTGCACTAGACAGTCTGTAAAACTGGGCCTGGATTGACCACTTATGGACTGTATGCATGATGGTGATCACTTAGCCTCTCTAAGCCTCAGTTTCCTCATCTGTAAAGAGGTCCATTGTTAAAAGGGCTAGCTGTGTAATCAGATTGATCCTGGGTTGTCACCCAGTTCCATCACTTGCTAGATATGTGGCCTGAGAAAGTTATGGGGCCTCTGTGAGCCTCAGTTTCTCTACCTGCAAAACAAGTATAGTAGTAGCAACTGGTCAGAGAGGGAGTGAGGACCAAGACAGTGAAAGTAAGATTCATGGAACAGTGAACGGCACAAAGTAAGCACTCAATGGATGATACGTATCAGAAATAAAAAGCCAACTATTACCATCACTCTTGTTTCCTTTAAACCTTTTGGTACCTTCCCCTCCCGCTTTCCTGCCTTCCATTGATTTGCAAACACAACTCCACATGCCAGCAGATTTCTACCCATTCTCATCTCTAAAATACTCTGGAGCGGCAACATGACAAAAATATCACTGACCCAAAGAGACTCAAACACAGAAGAAATAAACCAGGGTCACCTTAATGAAGAGACCGAGTCATCGAGGAAGAAAGGGAGGTGAACGTCCCTCTTGGAATTCCTGGGTTGGCTAAACACACCTCAACTTGCACGTTAAGCCACTGAGCACTTCCAGTACCTTCGAAGAGAGACACGTACCTTTTTCCTAAGGCAGTGACCATGGCCTCAAAGGAGCTGTCATATCTGAGCAGGGGAAGGCTGTGTCCTGAAAGGGTGGATTCAATAAACTCTGACAGCCCGAAGTACTTCTTGCTTTCGTGATATAAGTCCACTCCCTAAAACAGAGAAGAGTGCCGGTCACTCAAACACTGCACTCACAGGCACGGTCAGAGGCTCACGTGCCAGGCCTGCAGACAAGCTGCACTGGCATCTTGACCTAACTGTGCTGAAGATGCAGTCCCCTGAATGCATTTGATAAAATTTCTTCCACCTGCAGACCCAGAGCGGAGAGCATCCTGTGCTTTAAGGATGATATAGCCTCATCAGCCAAGAGTTTTCCATTCATTTGTTCCCATTTGTTTTCTATCCCATTTGTTCCCATTCATTTGTCTTTATCAAGAAGAAAATTAACCTTATCTTTTATTTTAATGTGCAACTTTCTTTGTTAAAATTGCTCCTTTCCCCTTACGCTAGCTTTAGGAGCAGGCGAATCAATTATATCCATTATCTTGCATTCAGTTGCTGCTAAAAATCAATGGAAAATAACATACTTATCTAAGCCAATTTTACTCACTTTTGCATAAAATTCCAAAGTTGGGTTAGGCTGTTAAAAATACAAAGGTGTGAACTCTACCCCCAAATAGTGCAGTGGCTAAGGGCCTGGGCCATGGACCCAGTGGCCTAGGGCACATGCTGGCTCCACCACTCTCTCACTGCCTGGCCTTCAGCAAGTGGCCCAAGCCTCCGTCTCATTTTCCCCATTTGTCAGTCAGAGCTCACCCTGGCACTTGGCTCTGCCCGAGTTCCCAGCCCAAGGCACTTCCGGCAGGGCCTCCCGGCTCACGGCAAGTGCCACATAGACACAGGCTACCATCGCCCCGATTCTGAGTCTGCAGGACTGAAGTCAAGCATCAGTTATTTTTAAAAGTTCCTCAGGTGATTGTGAGGCACTCCAAAGAAGTCTAGAATTTTACGTTTATTCCTTATGTAATTAGCTAGAATCCAACCGCCTAGAATTCTCAAATTACCAGAATTGTCTTTGTCTGTTTTGTTTTGATGAGAGGATGCCAGGTGATAAACTAACACTAAACTCACCAGGCTTTGAGGATGTATGTTCAGTTTGAAGGAGATTTTGAACCTCGCGAGAACGCACAGACAGGAAAAACAGGAACATTCCTAAGGCTTCTAGATACACGTGGAGTCAACTCCATACGGAGCCCAAATCCCCACATCCCTCAGGGGCTCTGTCTGCGACACATCCGATGCCGCGAGAGCAAAGATGTTCGGGCTGCTCAGAGAGCCGCAGCCACTGGAGAAAATGTGAAACCAACCGCACTGCTTTAAAGCGAATTCTGAGACGGGGAAGCCAACTGGGGTATTGCAGGAAGGTTTCCAAAACGACAAAGAAGGGTTTAAATCTAACGCTGGGTTGAGTCAGAGATCCAAGGAGCTGGAACCCACCGATCCCCAACCACGCTGGTGAAGGTTTTTACTAAACATAGTTTCTCCGAACGCACGCAAGCCCCGCGCTGCGGAGGCCCCGCGCCCCGGGCACTCACACTCGCGTGGCCGTAGGAGGCGGGCCAGTGGATCTCGTTGTAGGGGCTGACGAGGGTGTGCTGCGTCTGCAGCGCGTACGGGAAGGACGTCACGTGCAGCGTCACGATGTTGGGGGCCTCCTTCACCTCCCTGCAGTTGAGCAGTCTGTCCACCCACCCCACGGACGGGTCGCCTTGAGAGTAGAGGTTGTGCACGGCGCTGCTGGGGGAGGAAGGAGAAGAAACGATAAGCGGAATTACTGTTTTATAATTTTACAAGGATAAAGCAGCGGAATAAATAATTCCCGACTTTGCCAACAACTGAAAATTTTGGCTGTATCCATGACTAGGAAAAGAAAGAAAAGAAAAGAAAAAGACTAGACTTCAGGCACCTGTCAGGGACTCCCTTGATACTCATTCCTTATGAAAAATTCACTGGGGGAACAGTATCTATAAAGGATTTCTTACGAGGTACAAATCCATCTACTCCTGCAAAATGGCGATTTGTACTCAGGAGAGTGGAATGAATTGCATTTTCACCTCTGGCCCAATCTGTGTATTTATCTCCTTATATTTTCTTCCCTAAAGGCCAAAGAGAATATAAAATGGTAACTTCTATACTAAATCTATTTATTTATTTATTTGAGACAGAGTCTCACTTTGTTGCCCTGCCTAGAGTGAGTGCCATGGCATCAGCTGAGCTCACAGCAACCTCAAACTCCTGGGCTCAAGCAATCCTTCTGCCTCAGCCTCCTGAATAGCTGGGACTACAGGCATGCACCACCCACCATGCCCAGCTAATTTTTTCTATATATATTAGTTGGCCAATTATTTTGTATTTATAGTAGAGATGGGGTCTCGCTCCTGCTCAGGCTGGTTTCGAACTCCTGACCTCAAGCAATCCACCTGCCTCGGCCTCCCAGAGTGCTAGGATTACAGGTGTGAGCCACTGCGCCTGGCTTCTATACTAAATATAAAAGGCAGCATTAAAGGAATGGAAAGCAGTTTAGACAGACAGGGTGTCTAGAAGACGGGCCCAGCTCAGCCTTTCTCTGTGAGTCAATGGCCTCGGCATTCTCTGCCGTAAATCTAGGGATGGGAAAAAGCAAACCAGCGCTTCACCTTCTGGTTGGCAGGCAGCCACTCTGAGCAACCTGCCCCCACAGTGAATGTTCACAATACAGCTCTTTCTGTCATTTCAGGATGTCAAACTTCCCCAAGCCCATACAAGGAGCCCAGGTGGTACACCCTTCACCTAGGTGACCCTTCAGGCCTGGCCAGCCCTACATGTCTTCGAGTTCTATGATAACCAAAGGCTCTCTCCAGGATCGGGCCCACGAGCCTCCTCCTTTTTCACCTACATCAGCGGCAGTGTTGGAACCCACAACCCCAGGGCCAGTCTCGCAGCGACGATCCTGGTGAGCTAGAAACCCTGCCAGGTGCCAGCAGTGACCACGGCACTAGGAGGGACTGGGCTGAGCCGCTCCGTCAGGACCCCACGCTCCCCCTCACCCCACACCCGCGTGGCTCCCCGTCACTGAGTGGGCTACGGAGAAAGTGCATCCGGCAGTGAGTCCTGGCCCTGGGCTCTAGCTTCTCACTGCCGCCAACAACCAGCCTCACCCCACCCAGTGACTCGAGCCTCCATGGTGGTAAGTTTCAGAGGCTGCACTAGATGATCCCCGAGATGACTTCCAGCACTAAGATCGTGGAAAACATCATGGCATTACAAGTACCAAGCCCTAACACCATCCAGCTTTTCAAGACGTGTACCCTCAGCCCCAAGTAGCATGCACACGTACCAGTTCAAAGAAGGGAAACGTCAACCCGCCATATAGCAAGCCGCTCTAACCTCACAAGGTCCCAGTGGGCATGGTCGTGGATCAGGACGAAAAGCGTGTGCGGATTCTGGAAGGAGTTTTGCAGAAAGGCCTTAAATTTTGTCTGTGCCTCTATGTCGAGCTTCAGAACGTGCTGTTCCACCCTCTGCCTGGTCATGTGCTCCTTGTCCAGGCCCAGCTCCAGCAAAACCCCTGCAACACCGTGGAGATACGTCAGCAGCCCCACAGACTCGCTCCCCGGCTTCCGCCCGCTCAGACGGGAGCGTTTATTTCCTACACAGCCGGTGCTGAGCTAGGCCCAAGGCTCCGGGGATGCAGGCAGCAGAGACAGGTAGGGAGGAGACTCCCGTGCAAGTGGCAGCCGTGTGACTGTCCCACGCAGGAGCCGGGGCAGAGGCAGGCTCTGCTCAGCTTCGCTGTGTGCACAGCAGCCCACCCAGGGGCACCAACAAAGCCGGCTGTGTGGGGCAGCTGCCCCAGCCACGGGGAGGCCGGAGGGGACAGAAAGGGCCCACCACCAACAAAGCCCCCTCTAGTCTGCACGCCACAGGGCCCTACGTTACACCACTGCAGAGCGAGTCCTTTCGGTTAAGACGTTGACTCTCTGTGTATGTCACGTCTAAATAACAACATCCTTGAAAGAACAGGGAAAGCACATTCAGTAGAAGCCAAATAACACGTAGTTAGTGTTGGGATGTAGCAAAAGTTTAAGTCTTGGCTTTGCCTTCAACAGATTCTAACGTCTCGGGCAAGTCGCTTTCTCTGACATCAGTTCCACAATCTATAAAATGGGAGCAATAACACTTGCCCTACCCACTCTATGGCAAAGAACGGCGATAACATCCAAACGTGAATTTAGGCAGATCAGAACTTCTCCGTGCAGGCCACACAGCTTGTCCCCGAAAGGCCCCGTACCTGAATGCCAGACATGGAAGAGAGTCTGCTGGTAGGTCACTTCTGAGGGTGGAATGCAGATTAGAAAGTCCACCTTCTCGAAGGACCCCAAGTCCAGATCTTGAGTGCTGGAGTCCGCGATGGAGCACACGTGGGAGAGGAGCTTCTGTGCCACGGCCGACTGGAACGGCCGGATGCCACGCGGCTCCAGGTGGCGACCTGGACAGACCCCAGAATGCCAGGTGAGCCCGCCAGCAGAGAGCTGCCTCCCAGCCCTCAGCGTGGGAACCAAACAGTGAGCCCCAGTCCCAGCAGGAGATGGGCCCATGTGCAAAGCAGTGAAGGAAAAGGAAAAAATTCATTATCAAGTGCCTGCTCTCAGCCAGGCACCAGTAGTCACTTTGCATGACTTTCTTCATTTGACAGTAAGAGTCCAAACCACACTCTTGGGGAACACAGAGGAGACAGAGACCTGATCTGCTTGGAGGGACAAGGAGCCCATCCCAGGGTAGGGGACGCTTAGATTCGAGTTTGGGGAAAAGGGCTGCAAGTTCTCCAGAAAAGAATAAACCATCACAGGGCTTCAGGAACTTGTTATGAATAAACAATTTGAGTAATTCATTTGTAGGCAGGAAATCGGCTTAGAGAAATGTACCATCTCAGGAACGGCGTAAAGATGCACATTTCAGGATAAAATAAGATTGTTGTCAACAAAGACTAAACATAAAATTAGCTATCAGGTCTACTTTGATATGAGGAAGATGCCCTAACTAGTGCACGTGCCTCTGACACTGCTACCCTAAACCCCCAACCTTGGATGCTGCCTCACCATGCCGGACCCAGGTGCATGGGCCCCTCCCACTCCTCAGTCCCTGAGCACACCTGTGCCCCGCCCCCCACTCCCTGAGCACACCTGTGCCCCGCCCCCCACTCCCTGAGCACACCTGTGCCCCGCCCCCCACTCCCTGAGCACACCTGTGCCCCGCCCCCCACTCCCTGAGCACACCTGTGCCCCGACCCCCACTCCCTGAGCACACCTGTGCCCTGCCCCCCAGCACACCTTTCCCCTCCTACTCATCACTCCCTGGGCACACCTGTGTCCCTGACCCCATCCCAGCACACCCAGCACCCTGGGCAGCTCCTCTTGTCACTCACTTGTGCACACCGGTGCCCCGCTGACATCCAGAGATGTTGCTTTAGTGACAGAGGCAGTGAGTGAGGAAGGAATATGGCCTTGATTTTCCTGATGAAATTTGTCCAGCAAAATGTCAATGTCACCCTCTGCCCAAAACATAGAAAATAACCAGAAATGGGTTTTCTATCTCAGTGAAACTCAGCAAACATCTACAGAACAGTTAGTACATGTCAGGTACTGTCCTGAGGCCCGGAGTAATGGAAATACAGGTGACATGGCCTGTCCTGTCTGTGAGGATGTGACACAGTAACGAAGTGAGTCACACCAGACGTGGCCGGTCCTCGGGCGGAAGGAAGAATGAGATACTAGAGGACAGAGAGGAAGGTTCCAAGCCCATCAGGGAGGCCAGGGTTCAGCCCACTTTCTAGGGGAGAAGAGAGGAGTCGCCAAAGAAGGGGGACAGGTACTTGCAGCACCCCAAGCACATGAAGAGCTCCCCCCAGGGGGCTCTGAGCAATTCAGAGGGCAAGGGAGGGAGTGGTGATTAACAGGGTTGAAAGGAACAGGCACAAGGGCCTTGTCTACCCTAAAAGGACAGAACCCACAAGGTCCCCCACCCGGAGAACTCTCCAGCCAGAGCAGGAAGAGACAGCCAGCCGGAAGCCACGGCTGGCGTGCAAGGAAGGGAAGGGACGCGAATGCCAGCACACAGGAGGCAGGGAGGCCCGCACACCGAGATCAGCCGCAGGTCACAGGCGGGGCGGGCAGAGACGAGTCCCCACCGCCCTGATCTGTCTCAGCCGCGTACGCACTTGCGCCCGTCGGGACAAGCCTACCTGGACACAGGGTGCTAAAAAAGGCCCCCAACGAGTCCACCTTCCCCGTAACCAGCTCATAATTGACTTCTTTCTGGTACTCTGCCGGGGTGAGAAGGCTCTCGGAAAGAATCCGGGCTTGGTATTTTCCTGCAAAACAATAATCTTCACTGGGACCTTTTTTTACAATGAGCATGAACTCTTTGGTGACAAGATCCACACCTTTATCTCTCTAGCCCCCAAAGCCGGCACCACACCCGGCCAAGAGCAGGTGTTCATGTTTGCTAACTCAACCAATGGGGTACAACATCCTGTCCTAGGTTAACTGGATAAGAGGAACTAAAAGGCTGAGATCACCTACAGAGAATCCAGCGCGTTGGCCAAGAAAGCCGTCTCCGCCACCAGTCGTGCGAGCCTGGACTAGTCACCTAACCCTTCTAGACCCTCCTCTGTAGTACGTGGCTAGCAGCCTGCTGTAAGGTGGCACAAGACAGTGACACCTGGCACAGCAGAGGCTCCGGGTTTTACTTTACTTTACATTACATTACTGAATGTATTCAAAGTAAGGTAAAGAATTCATAAAAAACAGTGAGTTTAAGATCAAAGAATGGCAAAAGGCAACTGAGCCACTGCATGTAACAACGTGCACTTTTTATGGAGACGAGATATGAAAATTTCAGGTTGGAAACATGTGCCACCCGGGAAGTCTGGGCAGGCCAGACAAGCTACGTGTTTGGTGCTGCTCCCCCGCCTGAGAGAACATTCCAGGAAAGCAGGGACTGCTGTGTTCACTCACTCTGTAGCCCCCACTGCTAGGCCTGTGGCTGTACACGTAAGGCGTCAATGAGTGTTTTTGAGCTGGGTGCAATTGCTCCCGCCTGTAATCCTAGCACTCTGGGAGGCCAAGGCAGGAGGAACACTCAAGGTCAGGAGTTTGAGACCAGCCTGAGCAAGAGCGAGACTCCATCTCTACTGAAAATAGAAAAAAATTGATTGGCCAACTAAAAATACATAGAAAAAATTAGCCGGGCATGGTGGCGCACGCCTGTAGACCCAGCTACTCGGGAGGCTGAGGCAGGAGGATCGCCTGAGCCTAGGAGTTTGAGGTTGCTGTGAGCTAGGCTGACGCCACGGCACTCTAGCCCGGGCAACAGAGTGAGACTGTCTCAAAAAAAAAAAAAAAAAAAAAGAATGACTTCATAATCAGTAAACTGGCTCACGAACCCACACAACATGACAAGGTCACGGTTTTTATCTCCAGTAGATGCAGAAGGAACCAAGGGCCGCAGCCTTGGCAAGAGTGACCGACCACGGCGCCAGGTGCACGGTGGAGCCAGGTTTTCGGCCAGGCCTTTTCGGATTCCACAGCTGACCCCGTCTCTGGAGGGAAGGCACGGGAACTGTGAACCTCGCAGCTCAGGGCAGGAATGAAATGGGACTGAGCACAGCACTCGGGCACCAAGGCCACCTCCGAAGCCAGCTCCCGAGCACGGACTGCGGGTGCCACCCGCTACTGCAAGGCCGGGCGCCCGAGGCAAAGCGGGAGCCCACGGGGACGTGGCCGCGGCCGGCCTTCCGCCAGCCGAGGGCGGCAGCGCTCACCCGTGACGGCGATGCAGGAGTCGATGGCGGCGTTGCGGCAGGCGCAGATGATGACCACGTAGTTGGTCTTGGCCAGCTTGCCCTCGACGAGCAGCCGGAACATCTCGGAGAGGCCCTCGGCCAGGGAGTAGGCGCACTCGATGACGTGCACGCTGTCGTTGCAGGAGCTGGCGGCCAGGCTGGCCAGCCAGGGCAGCTGCGCCGGGGTCACGGGCGCCGCGGCGCTGGGCGCGGCCGGGAAAGGCTGGGGCGCCTGCTGGTACTGCCGGATCTCCGTCAGGTGCGACTCGCGCCAGGAGCGCAGGAAGATCTGCTCCAGGTCCTCCATCAGTGGCACCTGGTCGGCCGCTGCAACACAGCCCAGGCAGAGGCAGCGTGACACACGCGCCGCCACCGGGGGCGCGCGCCAGGCCAAGAGTAACGCGGTCTAAACCACTGCTATTAGACAGCGTCACAGGCAGCGGGAGAACTTAGAGAGGGCATAAATCTACCGTCCTCTCACCACCCTAATAGACCCACACTATTTTTGTGTATTTCTCAGTCTTTTAAAATGTGTGTGTGTGTGTATGTGCAGGTTTTAAACAGCTGTAACCACTGGGGGCATACAGCTTTGGTCTTGGCTTCCTTTCTTAACCGTTACCCTATAATCACGTTTCCCTGCTGTTTCTAGTCTTCATAAACAGCGCTGTGTGCTCATGACATCCCATCATTCGGAGGCACCATCATTTACTTAGCAAGATCTCTATTGTGCACTCTCTAATTTCGCCCAAATAATCGCCTCTATAAATACTTCTGTAATATACATCTTCATGTATAGAAAATTACTTCCTTTGCCTAAATCCTACAAAGTGGGTTTACAGAGCCAGCTAATACATCTCATCAGCCTGCTTCCGATGGCCCAAATGTGTCGTTTACCTCATTGACAGCGCGTAACAGTACTGGTTTTGCTCCACCTAGCGCCACCAGATACCATTATCTGAACTGTTATTGAGAAAAATACTTGTTTATTAATTTGCATCACTTTGATGACAAGCGAGACTGAATACTTTGTTTCCTATGAGTATTTCCTCATTAGTAAACTGTCTGGTTTACACGCCCAAGTTTTCTATTTGACGAGCTGGAGGAGCGAAGGCGTGTTCCTGCCCCTCCGTGTGGCGGTGGGTGCTCTCACCGCGTAGCTTCCTGACCTGCAAATCTGGGCTCATGCCACCTGCTCAGAGGGCTGTGCCAGGGTGTGGTTCGTTTATATCTCCATCTTTGATTGGGTTGATTTGATCAGAATTAGCTATTTGAATTAGCCAATCAGATTAGAATTTGATTGGAATAATTGTTCTCTCTCATCTTTAAAAACTTTCCCTCGAACCCACGTCTCCTTCCAGAATCCCAGAACCACCACCGCCCAGCAAAGTTCCTGAAGGGAGCTGTCTACACTCGCCGTACTTGCTTCCCCGCCCCTTTCTCTCTAACCCACTCCCAGGTGGCATTTGTCCTCAATGTCCTCGTACATCACTCCTCGTGGCTGCCAACTGCTCCCAGAGAGCCAAACCTGGCGGTCCACGATCAGTCTTCCCTCCACTCAACTCGCAGCCACTCTGGCACGGCTGACTCGCTCCTTTCCTGGGAACACTTTTGTTCGCCGGCTTCCGTATCAACACCCATCCATCCCCCCAATATCTGCCCGCCGGGCGTGCACTTGAGCTGCAGATGCTGTTGGAGGTACGTGCAGAAAGGAACTAGCTGACCGTTCCCGCCTCTCGGAGCTCACATCCTACTTGTTACTTAAAGCAAACAAACATTCACGGACTATGATTTCTGGGAGTGGTGGTGCCCTAAGGGACAAGACAAAGGGAATAGGACAGACAGCCCCGGGGGCTGAGGGCGGGGAGTTGTCTTAGATACAATGGCATAAGGCTTCTCAGAGGAGGTGACATGAATGACACAAAGAAGCAAGGTGTGCAAACGTCTTGGGCAGGAGCATGACACAGGGAAGGGACAGCAAGCACACAACACCCCCGTGGGACCCAGATTGCCGGGGGACAGCAGGCAGGAGCGGAGTGAGCAGATGGGAGCAGGAGGCAGGCGGTCACTGGGCCTGGAACAGGAGGAGAGCGAGCGTGGACGGGAAACAAAACCGCTGAGCAGCTCTGCGCAGGGAGGAGATGTGGTCAGACCCCAGTTTTGACAGGTGTGAAGAGCAGGTTGCCCGAGCGAGGGGGCAGCAGAGAAGGAAGGTGAGGTGGATGTAGGAAGCTGCGCTTAATGACAGATGTGTGGACCATGAGAAAGAGGCAACGGTGAGTTTCCCAGATTCCTGACTGCCCTTTCCTTCCTCCCTGTTCCAGCTCAGTCTTGTCTTCCAGATCTCCAAACACTGGAACCTTGGCGCTTTCCTCTACCTGTGGCCACCCACAGGGGATCTCAGCTGGCCTCGTGGCTTTAACATACATCATCTCTAAGCCCGAGTTTCTCAGATTTACACCTACAGCCTTAACCGCTCCCAGGGCGCAAGACCTGCCCCTCCAAATGACACAGAGCACTTGGTTGTCTCAAGGGCATCGTGAACTTGAAATTTCCAAGACAGAACTTGGGCTTGCATCCACCTGGTTGCTTAGGGTGAAACCCGCCTCATCTTCCCCTCACCTCCCTCAAATGGATTTCTGACCATCCCCACATTCAGGATATACCCTGTGTCCCACTCCTGCCACCTATAGTGGCCCAAGTCACTGCCCACCTCACCAAGTGACAGCCCTGCTTCAGCCCCTGCCCCCACACCATCCAGCCCCACACAGCAGCCAAGGCGGCCTTTCTAAGATGAAAATCAGATCATATCCTCCTCCTGCCTAAAGATGTTCCAGCAGCTTCTCAATGCGTCTAAAATATAATCACACTCTGACTGTAGCCTGAGGCCCTGTCTCCTCCCTGACCACACCTCTCACCCTCGCCCTGCTGCAGCCACGCTGGCCTCGCCACCAACCTGGACACTCCATGCCCCTTCCCACCTCTGGGCCTCTCACCTGTCCTTCCTTGCCCACCCCTCCCCCCTGGAGCCCTCACCTGTCCTCACCCCTCAGATCTTCACAAGGCTGGTTCTTTCTCATGGCTCAAGTCTCTACTCACAGAAGCCTTTCTTGATGACCCTAAATTGACCCCACACAGACATCTGTGCCCCACCTTTACCTGTCTACTTTCTGTTTATTGCCTCTCCCCCACCACTAGGATAGAATCTCCTTGAGGGCAGGGTCTTTGTTTTATTCTCTACTGTATCCCTTGCCCAGAATGGCAAGTAAATGGTCTTGGAATTGTCTCCATCAATTTCAACCTACCTTCAATCCCTCAGCGTGGTGACCACCGCAGGGACCCTATGATGTCCTCCCAGCGGGGCCACGCGCACATTCCCCGTATTTCATTTCCGACAGCCCAAGTCGGCCTCCCAAGGGCCCCAAGGGAGGCCTGGGCTCACGGCTGTGGCGTTTCCCTCCTTTGGTCACTGCCCCACCACGGACGCAGGGCGTGGGAGGGGACGCAGGGCGTGGGAGGGGACGCAGGGCGTGGGAGGGGACGCAGGGCGTGGGAGGGGACGCACCCAGCTGGACGAGATAGTAGACGGTCAGCAGCAGCTGCATCTCCTCGGAGATGGGCTGGATGGCAGAGGCGCCGTACTGCTCGTACGCCCTGGAGATGGACTGGGAATTCTGGTAGCACGTGTACAGCAGGGGGCTGACCACGACGTCGTTCAGGTTCCCACACAGGTACGGGAAGTTCCCGTGGCCTGCGGAAGAAACAGCAGCTCGTCGGCAGCTGGCCTCGGGCACAGCTAACGGCCCCGCACGTGTGGGATGTTGGGCGTGAGGAGCTAAAGGAGACAGGTGGGCTGCACCTGGGCCACTCAAGCGCCCCTTTCCCGGAAGTCTCGGCCTTCCAGCCCTTGCTGACCTAGCACACCTGCTCCACCCTCCTGGGCCCCAGAGTGACAGAGGCGTAACCTTTTATAACTGACAGGGCTGCAGCATGTCTGCTCACTTCGCACGGTCCCTTATTTTACAGGTGCACATGCTAAAGCCCAGGGAGAAGGACCGCCCTCCGCCAGTCAGCCAGGCCTGTGTCCCTGCTTCGGCGCTGGCAGTGGAACGCCCCGTGTGCGCGCCACGCCACGCCACCTTCCACTTCCTCGCCAGTGCTATGCGCCAGCCTTGCTGCTCCCGGGGCTGTCTGGCAAGCTGAAAAGAAAACGCTGTGCAGACTTGCAAAACTGACGGGCCTTGACAAACGCTTTAGCGAACGTTAGATGAATTCTGATGCCAACTCTCCGAGGCAGAATCACCCAGGCCCGGTTCCAGGCTCTTCCCCACCCTTCTTTAGCCACGTGGCCCTAAGCAAGCAGCTCAACTTCTCTCAGCCTCGGTCTCTGCATTTATAAGATGGAGTGAAGATGTAAAGCCTCGCCGGGCTGCTGAGATATCACAGAAGGGTGTGTGTGGTGTCTTGTACCAGAAGGTACTCCCGTTTAGCCACCAGAGACACAATTTCTGAACCTGCCGCCTGCTGTGGTGCAGGCACCACGCTACACTCCAGGGCTGAGTGAGACACGCATCACGTCCCAAGGAAATTGCACCTCCGGCTTACATGTGTAAGACGACCTCTTGACAGACCTGCTGAGACACTAGCTGGCCCCACCCCAGAGTGTGACTCAGAACCGGGGCCCGACTCTGGGAAGGGCCTGTGGACTCACACCTCTAATGAGCCCCCAGGTGGTGCAGGTCCCGCTGGACCAGGGATCGCGATTTGGGTAGCTCTGCTGGTAAACACTACGGTTTGTAAGAGGCAACGGGAAGAGTTACTAGACACAAAAGGACGTGATATTTGTCATCAAAGAGGCACAGAGAAGCTGTGACGGTCGTGGGGACAGGAGGGAGAGAAGCAAGCACTTTGCAGAGAGGGGTGCGGCTTGACCAGAGGAAGTGTGGGAGACAGTGTGCTTGAGAACGGAGGGGACTGTCTACATTCTGAGGTCATTGGTGCGAAGTGCAGGGCTCCTTTTCTGAGGCTCCTGGCTCAGAGCAGGTGCAGGGGCAGCCCTGCCACACCACCTGGCCTTGCCCCATCCTAGCTCTGTCGCCTCAGCACCACGTTCCCTGGGTCTACCGCGGGCACATGCTGGCCAGGCAAAGGCCACGTGCAACAAGATTGAACACTGGCCTGTTTTAGATAGCCAGTAGGGCCCAACGGAACCAACCCAATCACAGGCCCTGCCCCGTGCCGAGGTCAAGACCCAGATTTGCTCCCTATTCCCTGAATGCCCTGCCCATTTTTTGTTTTTGAGAAAAGAGAAGTGTCCTTTCTTATTTCTTAATTAACAGTAGGATGCCTCTCCCACTTTCCTACCACTCTCCCTCTACCCACAAGCATGATACCAAATGCAATATCAACTTATTTGAGATGGGAGTGAAAGTGTGCGTGTGTGTGCATGTGTGTGTGCCCACGTGTGCACATACGTGTGTATTATTACATGCCAGCACACTATACTGCTGAGCACAATCATCAATCAAGTCCTCCCTCAGTTTCCCATTTCAAGATCTTTGGATTCATTGGAAAGAGGTTTCTTTAGTTGGGCCAAAAGTCTCCTCAGCAGGCCCACCGGCCCACTGCACAAAGCAGATCCAATCTAGTCTTGTTTTATGCGTTTACAGTGGTGACCACGGCTATCCTTGCCCAACCAAAGTCAGATGTCACGGTGCAAAAATACTAGTGGCTTTGGGTGACACCAGGACAGCCCACAGACCGGGCTCCCTGAAGCAAGGGCTTGGTTTGGCCTGATCCTCGGTGCAAAGCGCCTGCCTGTCACCTTGGCAGGAGCCGGGTGAAGCTGAGCGAGTGGATGAAGGAGCGTGTGGACAAGCAAATGGGCTTCACGGAAGGGCATCGTTTCACTCGGGCTCACTGTGGAAAACCACGGCAAGACCTACAATTCTTGGCATCTGACCGGGCCCAAACCGGTGACTGGGTCTGCTTGGCTCTTTCATTGCCCCAGAAAGAGTTTGAGGTTTGTCTCAGAAGGACAGAGTCAGACCTGGAGTCAGGCCGGGACGAGGTCTCCACTTTGCCTGTTTCGTGTGTCTAGGCTCTCCTGCCCCCGAGACCCGGCTCGCTGCTCCACTTGCCTTTAAAGATCACCGGCTTGGCCTTGCATATCTTCAGCAGGTTGTCAGGAACAGACACTGGTTCTCCAGAGGCCACGGCTGATGCTGGGCCCACCAAGCCAACCTGGGGCGCACAGGACACGCCCGCGCCTTCTAGGAACAAGCCGAGAGCGTTAGGAAAATACATCGGACCTGACGTCAGGCTGGCCAACAAATCTGCCGCCAACCTGACCCACATCCCTGCTCACGGGAGCACCGACGCCTTGGATCACAGATCGCCAAGGTCAAAGGCACCTTTAAGTTCATTCGGTCCAACCCTCCCCATCCATGACTCAGTCTCCTCCTCTTCTATTTCCCTGCCAAGTGACATGCAAGCCCTTTTTAAATTTTGCTAGGATCAGGGAATTCGCTGTTGTACGGGGATCTTAGGCCTTGTAAAATAATCCTGGCATATAAGAAGTCAGTCCTTTTGTTGTATCAAAGTCTGCCTCCCTAGGACGTCCTCATTGACATGCACACACACACGTACACACACGCACGCACACACACAGGCGCACACACATGCACACACACGTACACACACACAGGCACACACACAGGCACACACACAGGCACACACACCAGCAGCACTGCTAGTGCCCACGTCTGGGGTCTTGGGCAAGGCTGGGGTCACTTACCATACTTAGCTCTGCTCCCACCGCTCGGGGGGTAGCCACCATCTGTAGCTGATGGGGATTCTGGAGACCACCCTTTGTGGCGTTTTTTGGGGGGCCCGGAGTTTGACAGGATACCTGGACAACATTCAGAGTACAGGTTAGGCTATCCCTAGGAAACAGCGTCAATAAAACTTTCCCCTGGTTTGCAGAACACTTATCTGGCATTTTTCCTTTTAAATCACACTTTGACAATGGGTTTTAAGTATCTAGTGCAGTTCTGAGGCATAAGGAAACACTCTGTCAATTTCTGCAAATGCTTCATGCCAAAGTCAGCTGTGCATGCATCTAAGCTTTGTCTCTGAGCCCAAGTTCTTTCATTTTTAAAATGGGATAATAAAATCTCCTGGGAAAGGCGGCTCAACAAAGACTAAAGAGAACATACGCAGAGCGCTTTGCGCAGCACCTTGCAGAGAGTTTGGGCCCATTAAACGGCGGCCACCATTACCTACACCATCATCTCTGTCATCTACACATTCCAAGACGCTTCCAGAGAGCTGGAAAGGAGACGTGTGTTTCTGCAGACAAGCTGCAGCAGCACTCAAGCCACCGACACCGTGTCACCACTTGGGGGCAGTACAGATCCACCTGCTCCCCTCCCCGCCCCGCCAAGCTCATTTCAGACTCACGAAATCAAGAACAGAGGCGGACACCCACGGCCGCCGCCGTGAGTCAGCCATGCCCACTCTAGGTAACAGCAGGCTGGTGACTCAAGCGATATCGTGAACATCTCAAAAAATCAAGCACTGGTTATGGTAGTTTCTTGACCAGTGTGACACAAAACGTCCCCTGTGTTTAGAGCTCCCTGTCACAGCCCTGGCTGCACGTTAAAGCTACTTGGGAGACTGAAGATGCAATGGTCTGGAGGCAGCCCCACTCCCAGGAACCCAGAAGCCCAGCACGTGGTGGGGGCCAGGCGACTCCGCCAGGGTGGAGCAGCAGCAAGAAGAGCAACGGTCCTCTGCGCTCCCCGAGGAGCTGTGCAGAGCCAGCTGGGGCGTGCGGCACCTGTCCCTCCTGGGCCCCGCCCGACCAGAGCCTCCTATCTGGAAATGACGGGAAGCAAACGCCATCCTCCACAAGCCACCCTGGCGGTTCTTAAGCACGCTGCAGTTTGAGAATTATTGCTTTAGAGTCTCTTGAAAGTAATTCAAAAAATATTTTCTACCTCCTTTAGACTCACTGAAAGTGAATCGAAAATTAAAAGCACGAAGTACTTTGTTTGCAAAGAGATCTCAAACCGGTGCGCCCCTCCGGCCCTCCCCCTGCAGCCCCAGGCAGCCGCTGTTTTCCTGTCCCTCCGCCCCTCGGGCCAGGCCCGTGACCCTCCAGTCAGTCCTCGCGTGCAGGAGGGCTCCCACTAGGCCAGACCACCACAGGGTGTAGAATCGGGTCTGAGACCTGAGGAAGGAAGATCTACAGACACTCTCACTCTGGGAAGCTAATCCTAAATGCCCCTAGTGGACTCTAAGCCCGTGAGCTCTCCCAAAACGATGTCCCCGGGAGCTGCCCCTGTGGTACAGTGTGGACCAACTCCCTCTTGAAGTGTCCCATGGGGGCGCTATGTGGCATTTTGGGGAAGATGATTCATCATGTAGCTGACTCACTGAAGAACATGTGGCATCCTGCCCACTCTGTCCCCAGCACTAAATGCCAGTTAAGACCCCCTCCCCCCGTCTGGGACAACAAATCCTTCCTTTATCTACACCCCTCCCACCCCCAGGGTCAGCACTTCTCCACTGATAACCACTGAGTGACAGGCTTCAAGCCTTCATTAAATACTCCTTGCCCTTTTAGAAACGATTTTTAAAAAATTTATATTGGGCTCTTCCCAGAGCAGACCAGAGAGCTCAGGGGCTCCGACAGCTCGGCTGTGCTCAGGACGACCTGGCCCCGCCAGGGTCTGTGGAGCCCCCGGCCAGGCCACCGCGGCCAGTGCTGGGGGCTCCGACACGTGTATGACCAGGGCCCTGACAGCCACTGGCCCTGACAGCCACACATGGCTGTGGGACTGAGCCTGGGGTGCCTGGGAACTCCCCGCACGGAGGGCACCCCCAGAGCTAAGCGCTGAAAGGCGGTTTGGCAGGTGGGTGGAGAGACGCCTGCCGAGGGCACAGAGGAGGAACAGGGTGGATTTGGGAGGAAGGGGCGGTGACAGGGGAGCGGGGACTGAACTGCCCAGTGTGGCCGGGATAGCAGCGAGCGAGAGTCAGCAGGTTGGTTGGGGCCAGACTCCAGCGGGCTTGAGTACCCGTAGGGAATTTGGGGGGGTCCTCCATGTCCCACATCCCTCCACGGGGTATGGCAAGGAAAGTACGTTCAGTCCAGCCCTGATGTCGTCCCAGAGCCACGGGCATTGGGTCCCAGGCTGAGAGGGGCCCTCATCTCCCTGCTGCTCGGGACCGAGGCTGGGTGTCCGGACCTCGGCTCGGGGAGGGAGGCCCCAACACAGCCTCCCCTCCCCAGAGGCCCAGCTCCCCGGCCGGGCGGCTGCCCCTACATTCAGCACCTGGAGGCTGACTTCCGGCTCCACAGTGGTTAGGGTCAGGAAGTCTCAGATTCAATTCAGAAAACATATTTGCTCCTTCAATGAGCGCTAGCCGATTCACAGGCTTTTCACCAGGGAAGGCCTCCACCAGCCCAGTGTCACGGGAGCAGAGACTGGATCCTAGGCCCGGCCCCGCCTCCCTGGACTCAGTCTCCTCCTCTGTCAGACAGTGCTGGCCTAGAGGATTTCTAAGGGCTCCTCCAGTTTGGTATCTTGGATCCTAAAATCCAGGTTAGCTGTGTGCATGAGGGACAGCGGGAGGAGAGAGAAAACTGGCTTATGAAATGGCTCTAGATGGCAATGGGGAGAGCACTGGATTTGGAGTCCAAGAGCAGGTCTCCAGGTTGCCCACCCTGCCATCTTCCTCGCACCCCTCCTCTCACAGGTCTGAACCCCTCACTCACCTCTCATCTACATCCTCACTTCCTCGTCCCTCTGTGCTCACTTCCTCCCATATCATCTCTACTTAAGGCTTCTCCAACTTCTAAGCTGCAGCTCAGTTATCGCCTCCTCCAGGAAGCCTTCCCTGAACAGACCGGCCTCACCGATGACGCCGACACAGATGACAATGGCTGGTATCAACTAGTGAGCTGCCAGATGCACTCTGACCTCACACACAGCACCTCGTCCCTCGTAAGCACCCTCAGAGCAGAATTCTCATCTCCAGGTGAGGAAACGTTTATTGAGACTTAACCAAGGTCCCCTAACAAGAGACAAGAGCTGGGTTTATTTGTCTGATTCCAAGTGCATGTTATTCCCCTGACGACACACTGCCCCTATTGCTCCAAAACTCTCTGGCCATCCGGACGCGTGGCCCACGAGACGGGTCATTGGCCATCACCACGGGTGTCCCACTGCTTCTTGGCACACACGACATCTCCCAAGCGTGACTGCACCCTCCGTGGCGGAGCCCGGGCACAGACCCACGGGCTCAAGAGGCACCTGCTGGCCTGGCCCGACTCTCGGGGAAGCAACGCCAGGCTCCAGGAGGCGCGGCGGCCCCCGCCCAGCGGTTTCTGTGTCCCCCCTGGCCGCGGCCCAGAGGAGAGCAGGGCCCGCAGGACGGCCGGGACAGGCAGCACTACCTAAGGCGGAGGGCCGCGGCAGGGCCGCCAGGGCATTCTTCGCCAGCTGTTGGTGCTTCGGGGAATCTTTGCCGTTGAGAACAGCTGGACCCACTGCTGCACTCAGTGAGGCGTGGTCAGAGGCCGGCCCTGAAAGCAAAGAGGAAGAAGGCGGAGAGGGCGTCAGTTTGCAAGAACGCCCTGGCCGGGAGGACGTGACTTTTCTTCCAAGGCCCGTCAGGTCGGAATTCCTGACAGAGACTCTGCCCCACCGAGAGGGCACAGACAGACACATGCATGCACACGTGCAGACCCATGCACACACGCCCCCACATACACGCACATGCCTGTCCATAAACACACAGGAATATACACACGCACACACACTCCTCACGCCCCAGTGGCACAGCCTGGGAGAAAGGGGGACGTGAGTGGCTGCGGAGTGCGGGGAGGGCTCTCAATTTCAGGACCACACCTAAAACTGCTCTCGCCCGGGCTCAGAATAGCGGCCAGGTGTGCAGCCACCTGGGCTCTCTAGGTCTGCAGCTAATTCCAGGTTCTGGTCTCCTGACCCCGATGCACTGCTTAAGGTGCCCAAGTCAGCCAGAATGATCTGGAAGGTGCTTGGGTCAGGAGCAGTACCAAATGAGGGGTTAAGAACGTGGCTCTAACACCAGACAGCCTTGTTTGAGCCCAGTTCCACCACTTCCCAGCTGTGTAACCCCGGACGCTTACATAACCTCCCTGCGCTCAATGTCCTCATCTATAAAATGGGGCGGCAGTCCTAACAACTCAGAGCCACCACGAGAACATGAGTTAGCACAAGAGCGTGCGCAGAACAGCGTCTGGTGTGTAGCAAACACTAAGTGAGCATTGCTAGTGCTCTCGCCTTAATTCTCACAATTGCTCTGCAAATTAGACAGAGGAGATTGTCCCCAACTTTACAGATGAGGAAACAGAGGTTCAGAGGATCTAAGTGAGTTGCCCCAAGTCACTCAGCTAGAAGGTGGCAGCTGGAGCTCACCCCCAGGCGCTGTGAGGGCACCGACAGTGGCTCCCCAGGCCGTGGTGGCAGAGGTGCCGGGGGCCGGGGCCTGGAGAGGCCGTGAGTGACAGGGGCACTGGCTCCCCGCTCAGGGCAGCAGGAATGAAAACAACCAGCCACCTTCCAGAGTCCCGGGAACGCTGTATCTGCTTAGCAGGTCTGTTCAGTGTGACTAGGCAACACTGATGTCAACTCTCGCCTCCACCCCCTCCTGCCCATGGGGTCCCAGGCAAGCACTCAGCCTCAGTGAGCCTCGGTTTCCCAGTCAGTAAGACGCGGAAGGTAACGCCTGCCGACAGGGAGGTTGTTAGAACCAAGGATATCATGCACGGAGCTGGGGCAGCAATCGGGTCTTGCCCGCCCCCTGTAGCAACCGATCCAAACACTGACTCAGAAGCTGGTACATGCACAGCGCTGGGCTGCAAACTGGGGGATGCAGAGAGACCCTAAATATGACCCCACCGTCAAGGGGATCACATTACGTATCAAGCAGGGGTGCAGAAAAGCTTTCCAAATGGAAACCACAGCTTTCTTTGTTGAAAACGGTTATAAATTCAACATGAAATGTAAAGGCGCTATAGAAGAAGGGAACATACAAAGTGTGCCCTTGATTTATTTTGAAGAATGCTCGACTACAAAGTCACCCAGCACGCTGGAGACGTGGCAGGTCTGTGGATTTGGCACCTTTGTTGCTTCCCTGTCGCCTCACCTGCCTGAGCTCCGGTCAGGACGCCGGGGTTGGTCCCAGGCACGGGCTCACCGGGGAAGGCAGCCAGAGGCCCCGAGCTGTCCAGCGGGAAGAGGGAAGCGGAGCAGGTGGTGGCCGCGGGCTGCCGGCTTCGGAACTCTGAGGAGGCAAGACGCACGCGTGAAAGCCAATCCGGTCCCCTCCGCAGTCACAGAACGATTTCCTATGCTGGAATGGCCCTGTGGGGACTGGGGTACGTAGACGGCCACAAAAGGGGCCACCACGGCCTCGTCTTTGCGGCAGTGTGCAGCTGGGGCCGGGTACAGCCCTCCACCTGTCCCCATGCGAGGGGCGGCTCTGTCAGGAAGGGGCACGGCGGCTGTGAGTATTCGGAAGAAAGAAGAATTATACAGATTAGTCATCCCACGGCTGCCCCCAAAGTCCAAGGAGAGAATGGAGCGTCACCCAAAGGTAAAGGAAAAGCCATATGCGCCCCACCCCATGAGTCCTCCCTGTGGGAAAGGCTGGCCCCACAGCACAGCTGACCTGTCAGGTGCTCGGTTGTAGCAAGTGACCACAGGTGGTGAGTGGCCCCACGAGCTCAGGAAATACTGAATAAAGCAAATGAGGAGAGGAGGAAGAGTGGGAGGGGAGGGGCGAACCCAGAGCAACTCCAACTCACCTCCAAACCCACCCCGGGTGCTGGGAGACCCCAGAAGGCCTGACGTGAACAGACGCAGCCGAGGGAGGGACAAAGTGATGAGGCCACACCTCACTGGAGAGCCCCTCCCAGATGTGCACCTCCCCCCACCCCGAGGCTGGCCTCTGAAAACCAGCACCCTTCCGTCTGCCCCTCAACACGGACCATGAGACGCGGGGGAGGCACAGAGGGGCCTGAGGGACCTTCTCCTAACGCTCCAGGGAGCTGGAGCCACTCACTTCCTCGGGAGCCAGCAATGCGAAGGAGGTCCCTCTGGTCACGGTCAACAGGGTTGGGGGAGGGGTGGGGGGTGGCGGCACATTATTTGAGCCAAGCTTTCCCCGAGTCAGGTTTCTCAGCCTAGGCACCTCTGATGTTCTGCATGGGACCCCGTGTGCCGGGGACTGTCCTGTGCCTTGCAGGGTTGGTCCAGCAGCACTGCTGGTCCCTACCCCTAGATGCGCCCTCCAGTCGTGACAATCAAAAATGTCTCCAGGCATTGCCACATGTTCCCTGGGGGACGAAAGCCACCCCTGGTTGAGAACCACTGCCCCAAAAATACTTGCCACGGTGTGGCCCTCCGCCCACCTGCACATGTCCCATCCGATAGTGCGTCACTGTCAATCAGCCAAATGCCCGTCACGCAAAGGAGCATTTTCGGTCTCACAGGCCTGGCCTTTGCCTGTGATCTGTGCCACTACAGAGTGGTCTGTCCCCAACATTACACACTGACTGGCACCACGGCCCACTGGGGACATTCCCAGCACCTCCACGCCCCTGCCATAGCCAAACTGCTCACCTGAGCCTTTCCAACAAATCGAAGGTCCCTTGGTTAGAGTCCCTTGTGCATTTCGGACCAGGTAATACTTCAAGTGTTTCTGCTTCTTGGGTTGGGTGGTCAGTTTCAGATTGATGTGGTTGGAGAACTCCGTGAAGTAACAGAAGCCTTTCTTCCCGCAGCCAACGCAGTTCCCAGAGAAACCTGGAGAAGGAAACAAACCACGAGCAACTCCAACTCACCTCCAAAGTCCTTTTCAAATAAAACACGGTTCGTGGAGACTCTGAAGGTTCATGTCCTGTACCGCCAACCAGCGAACCCCACAGGGCAAAGGTCCCCACCGTCTCAGACTGGCCCAGAGGTCGAGATGGCCTTGACGTGAATAAGAGGAGGACCAAGAAGACTCGGTCACAGCGATGGGCCCAGGCAAGCTTGGAAGACTTACCTTGGTTAGGAGCAGCTGTAAAACCTGTATAGACAGCAAACCATGCAGGACAAGACCGATCCGTCGGGCTGTCTACACTGACCAAGCACCTGTAATAACCTCATAGGACTCTTTCTTTTGGTACTGGCCACTTACAGAACCTCAAAGCAATTAGACCAGTGGGACCGGCTACATCGGGAGACTTTTTGAGAGTCTAAAATTCGATCCGGGAATCAAGTTGATCCCAGGAGTTGTAGAAAAAAAGTCAAGCAGCTCCAGAACACACGGTCAGCAGCCTCCGCCCAGGCCAGAGGGAGCCTTGAGAGCTGATGCAGGTTCCCATCCAACGTGAGGCTCCAGGCAGGCCACCTACACAGTGGCAAGGACACAACCTCCTCATGTAAACTAGTAAAACCCAGGGAATATGCTTTATAAACTGTAAAACCCATTCAGACTGTGCTCACTAGAACCGTTGGTTAAGACAAGAGAAATGTGATGATCTGGCTCCTGTATCCGACGATCGCTCTTGTTTCAACCGTCTCAAGCAGACCTTGCTTTGCCCACTGGTAGGTCTGGTTTCTCCGGGTCCAAGGGCCTTTGGCAGGAGAGTCCCTAAAGTGGAGACTAATTTATTTTATCACATTCTCTGGCTGGTAAGTCTACAAAGGTCATCTTGCATTGGGCCGTGAGGGCCACACAGCTCCATGCACAAGCTCTGCTCTTAAACAGTATCCCTGAGGTCTCCGGCTAGGTCTTCAGAATAACTCTAGTTAGCAAAGGTTAAACGCATCTCCACAGAGAAATAAGATACCTACATTACAGAAACTTAACGGAGTCCATGATCTATTTTAAGCAAATTTAATACTCCTCAAAAAGCCTTAGAAATAAAGACAAATCTCTTGGCCCAGCCATAGGCCAGTTCAGGACAATTTCAGAACCAGAGAGGCCAAGCAACTGTCCACAGTCACAGGGACAGGAAGTGTAGGGCATCCGATGACAGCCAGAAGATGATGTCCTCACAAGAGGCCCGATATCCGAGGCTGCCCAGACCCCGCGCCCCCCCACAAGCCCCACCGCACGCGGCTGGCCTCACTCGCCGCCTGCTGCCCCGGAGCACCTGCCAGGAGCCCGGGGGCTGCCTGCACCCTCCTCCAACTGTGCTCCCTCCGTTGCTCAGGAGCACTTGATCAGCTCCCTCAGTGTCACTTACTGAAATTAACGTGTCTCCCCACCATCATCCCTACCCTTCAAAGGGCCAGGCTCATGGTGACTGCACACGTGTGGCTTGTGCACGTAAGTGTGTGTGTGTGCCAATCAACACCGCGCACTCGGCACTTGGTAAATATCAAGAGGGAAGGAAGGAGGGAGGACACAAGGTAACTATAAGAGGGAACACGTTAGGGTTTCTGCATGCACTTCTAATAGCCTAATGTCTTTACTTATTCATCTCCAACCTAGGAAGCCTGATACACACAGCTCAACTGCCACCTGAGCAGGAGGCCCCAAGAAACCTTCGGAGCCCCCCAGAAGGGATTCTACGCCTGAGTGTTGGAAAGATGAGCAGGAAACGGAACTGCAAGACCAAGAATGGTACGAGCCAACTTGCCAAGGCCAGTGCTGCCAGCCCTCTCCAGAAACTGCCAAATAGGTCCCAGGCTGTTGTCCCAAGGGACAGATGGGCTGGGGACCATGGCTCTGTTGCAGGAATGGCCACAGCAGGAACGACGAGCACAGGCAACAAGGGGCTCCTCTTCGTGGTCCAGAAATGAGAGCGGACACCCTGGGTCTTGCTGGTATGCAAATTATTTAGGGAGCTGGCAAGCAAACTGCTCTCTGGCTTTGGCAAAAACTTTCTGGTCAGGAGACGCAGCTGCTCTCCCAAGAGGTGGTCCTGGAGAGACGGCACCCGAAGCCAACCAGGAACCCCACACACAGCTTCCCAGCTGGCCTTGGAGACAGGGCCACGGTGCAGCCCACCTCAGTAAACGCAGAGGTAATCCTAACCCTTCAAGAAGTTATTTGAAAGGCAACAAAAGGTTTTATGAGAAAGAGTAATATAACAAGCCATTCTCTTGAGAAATCAGCCTTAACACTTGGAAGTCTATAACGATTTCTCTAGAAAATAGGCCTAGAAAGCAGGGATCCAGCCTAAAACCTCAAATTCCTGCCAGGCACAAACATCCAGAGTGGAGAAATCACTCCTTCAGTGCCCCGCACCCCGGGAAAGTCCACAGACAGGAACCTCCCGTGACCACACACAGCCCCACTGTGCGCTTTTCCCATAGGTCTAGTTTGGCAGCTGCAGGTAACGTTTGAAGGGATGTCAGTACGTGCAGGCCACTGAGCAAGGCTCTCCCCTCCTCCTGGGAGGAAGACTACCATCCACTCCCTCCTGCTGTGCAGCAGAGTATGCACAAATCTGGATGTCAGAGGTCCCTGGGTTCAAACCTTGACTTGACAGTTAAGTGGCTTTGGGCAGGTAACTACCATCTCTGAGTTTGTTGCCTCATCTGTAAACTAGATGACATGCACAGCCCAGCGACCATGTGCCAGGCACTGTGCCAAGCTTTATATAATAAACATTCTCATTGAAACCTCCTGAAGCCCTACAAAACAATTCATAGCAATATCCCCAGTTCTCAGATGAGGGAATCAAGGCAGAGAGAGGGGAAGTAAAGTGTCCGCGGGTACAGCGTAGGAAGTGCTAAGAGCTGGGTTTTGTGCCACTCTGCTATGCCATTTCCTCCCAAAAGTCCCTCTCATAGAAGCACCACAAGGGCCAAGTGTCTATGACGTGTCTAACGCATTGCGGGCACTCGGCAGGGAGGCATCCCTCCTCCTCTCTCAGATTAAGCTGAGTCGGGAAGGAGAGCACAGTGGGGTCAGGGAACGCATGTCCCACCCTAGGGAGGCAACTACATACACAGCCCCTCCCAGGGCTGTGAGACGTGGGGAAGTGGCTCAGTTTCTCTGGACTTCTAGTTCCCAACCATAAAAAGAGAAGGCTAAGACTAAAGGGGCCCGATGCTTCCTTCCAAAACCAGCTATATGATTCTTGGAAGGATCCATGAGTGGCTTCCTTCAAACCCAGTGCTATCTAAGCACTCAGCTCCTAGGAGGCTAGAGGTGGCCCAGGTTTACTGCTGGGGCTACTCCCTCTGCAGAGAGGGGTCTGCCACCAAACCTCAGGGTGGGCCTGCAAGCCCACCAGCACCTGACCTTTCCTTTGTGACCCGAGGCCCGAGGCGGCCTGGCTGACAGGCAGCACACAGACCCGAGGGAACACGAACCAGTCCTCCAGGCCAGACACCTCCACCTGGTGCTTTCCTGGGAGAGTGGACTCTCAGAAGGGCCTTGCTCTAGGCCACTGCCCCAGTGGAGAATAGCCACTTGGCCCGAGCTGTCAACCCTCTATGAAAAAAAAAAAAAAGCAAATCTGACAAATACTTCTAAGCACAAATATGTTCTGAGCAGTCATTCAAAGAAAATTTGCTAGAAATTAAAGCAGGTGCTCTGAGCAAGGCATAGATGAAAAAAAAAACACGTTCTCTGTTAGGAAGAAAGGATAGACATATCCCTGCCTCTGTAGTGGGATTGTCTAAGTATGAACCAGGAGTGCCGGTGGTCACGACAGCAGTTCCTCAAATCTGGGCAGCATTTCAGTTTCTAGAGAACATCATATAAGAGCTCATTGCCCTCGCAGCAGTGGGCAGGTGGGGCATACGTCATCATGCCTCTTATAGATGGAAGACCTGTAGCTCCAAGAGGGGCGGCCCCTCTCTGCTGGGCTGCGACTTGCTCTCCAGCACAACGTGCGGAGGGAAGAGTGGGGAAAGCAACCAAGGTGATTCGGGAAAACGTCCCGGCAAGTGGGATTCCAGCTGGGCCTCGGAGAAAAGGTAGGTCCCTCGGCAGCACCTCCGTGCTCCTGACAAGGAAGGAGCCCTGAAAGCTCGTGAGCACAGGCCACATGAGCCACGCCTGGCAAGCCGCCTGGTCACCCTCCTGGTCCCTGGAAGTGATTTGGGTCACTGATGACTTGGGACAAACACAGGATCATCTTTGGCTCATTGCAGCATATTGATTGAAAAAAACAGAATCTAGTAGCATATCTATAATGCAATTGTCAACTTATAAAAATTATTTTAAATCCCCACCCTGGATGGTGAATGGAAAATGGACAAAATAAAATAGGATGTTTATTTTTAGGGAGTGGGATTTGGGCAATATTTCATTTTTGAGTTTTGGGATTTTTGTTATTCCTGTCACTATCCTGTCTGTGGCAGTAAATGTAGCCCAACAATAAATGAGAGGGGAAAATATATCCAGATCCCCTGCCTTGGTATTGTGGGCAAATCCTGACTAACGTATAGAAATGACCTACCTGTGTTGGGAAAGCAAAAGGTGCTGTATCAGATTCCGGATGTGACAGGAACTGGGGCGGGGACCCAGGTGTGCGTGGGGAAGATGAGACACAGTCAGGGGTGCTAAATATTAACAGTATGGTGTTAGGTTTGAAACTTCTAACCATCAAACTACCATAGTTACCTGGAATCCTGCAATAAGTTTACAACTAGTTCCTCTGCCTCAGTTTCTCCCTTTCAATAAAAATAAATTTGGTGCGCGACCTGTAAGATCTTCCTAAAACACAAATTAAAACATAGTGATCACCTTATCTTAATGCTCCAATGATTCTTAAAAATATAAAATGGTAAGGGGAAAAGGAGGAAGGAAAAACCCATAGATTAAGAAAGACTTAAAATGTTTACTGCCCCATAATATCCTGGAAAAAAAAAAAAAAGACTTAAAAGAGACATATCAACCAAATGCTTTGGGAGAACCTTGTTTGGATCTTGCTTCAAAATAAACCAACTGCTAAAAAAAATGTGTAAGATAAAATTTGAACGCACTAGATATTTGATAATATTAAATAATTGTTAAATTTTTAGATATGATCACAGTATCGAATTTCTAACCAAAAAATTCCTCATGTTTCGGAGACACATGATGAAATGTTTATAGCTGAAATGACACCATGTCTGAGATTTGCTTCAAAATAATCCCCCAAAGGAAGAAAAGCAGGGAGTTATAAATGAAACAAGGTTGAACTGTGTTGGTAACTGTTAAAGAGGAAGGACAGATACATTATATCATGATATGCTCCTATTTCCACAGTTTGAAAATGCCTTCTTGGGTGCCACAGTGTTTCCCAAGCCCAACTGAACCCCGCAAGCCTCTGCTCCAGCCTCAGAGTTCTAGGTACCTCTCCAGCATGCCACGCTCTGGCATACATGTGGTTCCCACTGCAAAATGCCCTTCATCTTCTAGCATCTGAGCACCAGGCCAGATCACCTGGTCCAAATGGCTGGGTGCCCCTAAGCAAGTCAGTTAACCTCTCTGTGCCTTTGTTATTTTATATACTGTGTTTTCCCGAAAATAAACCTACCCATAAAATAAGCCCTGGCAAGATTTCTAAGCATCTGAGCAATATAAGCCCCACCCCTGAAAATAAGACCTAGTGACAGGCGTGGCTACGCAGCGCGTCTGCACAACCCGTGCATGTCCTCGCGGAGCGGGAAAGCAGCCGAGAAGCCCGTCTTATCCGCCCCATGAGAGCTCTATTGCTCGACATGAGAGATTGGGGCCAATGGTTCTAAAGGAAATAGAGTCACAAGAAATTCAGGATGGAATTCGGGGTTTGGAGAGTTATGATGTTCCAGAAGACGACGACTTAACTATATTTGAATAAATGTAGATTGTTGTACTGTACTTAAAAAAAATAATACATCCCTGAAAATAAGCCCTAGGATGTATTCTTGAGGAAAAATAAACATAAGACCCCATGGAAACACTGGCATGTAGGAACTCTAGATAACAATGCACCTAACTCACTGGTTATCCTGGCACATGATAAACGCTCAGTAAACACTGGCCACTATCAGTGTTTATGTTGTTAATCTCCAACTGGCAAAATTCCACTCATTTTTCAAGACCCAACTTAGACACCACATCCTCCAAGACACCATTTCCATCACTGAGGGTCGACGTGTTCTTCCACATCCCCACAACCCTCTGCTACGGCACGTGGCACAAAGGCTTATTGTAAGATTATCAACAAGGTCGTTTGTTGTGGACGTCTGGGCTGGCGCTTGGTTTGCCTGCATTTCCCCACAGGTAGGGCGCCCCAAGGGAAGGGCTGGTCCAACTTGGCTTTGGGGTTCCGGCATAGCTGAAGGGTTTCAGGTTATATAATCTATTCAACAAACGTGTCTAGTATTTGCCTGCCGAATGAACAAAGGACTGGTTTTACTTCCATCTAAGAAAGGAACAGTCTAGCAAAATGTTTTCTTCTCTTAGGTCTTAGCTATTAGCCAATTTAGGTAAATTACCAGCAAAACACTGAAATACACACCTAGATTTTAATCTTCCAGCTTTCTCAGATAAAAGCCCTCAGTTGATTCAAAAATCACTAAAACAAGGCTTCTAAAGCCATTGTTGTCCTCAGGAGATTCCACACCCTCCGTTTTATAGGTCCCTAACCCGGCCACCTCGCCAGCTATAAGGAACCACCTTGTTCTGTGCAGCCATCAGGGTTAATTGCAGGAAACCTAAACAGCATTAAGTGTGCCAGCTGAGAGCATAAAGTTATTTTAAAAGAAGAAAGCGACAGTTATTACCAACCGGCCCTTGTTACCCATTTCAGATGGCTCTTTGGCAAGCAATTAACAAAGCCCCTACTTCCTCTACACTCCCCAAAGAGCTGGCGCTGTCCCGGGCTGGCTGGGAGGGAACTAAAGATTCTCATCTCCACAGGCCAAGAGGCAGCAGCTCCTTTACTACCCTGGCAATTCCTTTACAGTCGCAAAGTGCCGGAATTCAGACAAATCCCAGCCAGCGCCAGATCAAACGCTAGGCACAGGCTTCCCCACGCTTTCATCCTGAGCAGCCTTTGCAGGCAAATCCAACCTGAGACTGAGCAAGTCCTTCAGCTCCTTTGGGAGAGTGAATCTTCTGGGGTTCTCGTTTTAAAGAGCTCATTACAGTAAGTCCCTGGATCTGCCTAAAGCAGGCGTCCTCAAACTGCAGCCTGCTGAAGACATTTATCCAGCCCGCCAGGTGTTTTTGCTGTCACTGCCTGTCCTCAGTGGCCAACTCGTCCTGGGCCCACAGTGCACATGTGTGGAATGCACACCACACTCTCCAACGGCCCTCCAATGGTCTGAGGGACAGTGAACTGGCCCCCCGTTTAAAAAGTTGGAGGACCCCTGGCCTAAAGAGAGGCCAGGGGTAAAGAGGCTGCAACCTCTTCTCCCCCTCGTCTTTGTCCCAGAGTGCCGCTGTCCCTCCCGAGAGCATTCACCTGCCTGTTCGGAGCTGGCACACAGGTGCTCGCCCCCACCCCCCACACGGCAGGAGCCACTTGGATTCTTCCTCTGGGGTAATCCCGTTCTCTCTCCGTCCTCTGCACAGTGCCTCGGCCGCAAAACGCACTCAGTAAATATCCGCCGGAGTGAGTTTGCCTACCCAGGTGTTAGGGCTATATCACGCACAAAGCTGGAGGCTTAAATGTTGATGCACATGGGAGACAGGGAAGAAATCATGGGGTTTAACCTAGAAGTTTCCCCCATAATTCTCACAATCAAACTCACCTCTACAATGAAGTGTATTCCCAAGCCTACACCTGAAATAGATCATTACCAATCCTTCCACCTGCCCAGTTCTGTTCCAGAGAAAATGCCAGGCCAGGGGAAGGATGAGACCCAAAGTCACTAGACAGAAACAAACTGCTGGGCACAATGTGGAAATCACCTCCCCACCTCAAGAATGAGGACACAGCTGCCCAGGGAAGACACACAGATACCTGCTGTCAGATGCAGGGCTGGGACCCAGATCTCTGGGCTCTTCATCCAAACCCTGGTCTCCCCAGATTTTGCTCCATAACGGGGGGAGCGTGCTGAGTGGGGCCTGGCACATAGAAGCTCAATCATGTCACCTGCACTAATGGAAGCCAAGCTTGGCCTCAACTCTGTGCTGAAGTCCAGCCTCAGTGGGCCGTGGTGGTTTGAAAGGTCAAATGCTGGACGAGAACGGCTAGAAGGGAAAAGCCTCAGCTCCCCCATCCTGACGTCAACCATGAAATGGTCAAGACCACACGGCACAGTGAAGGGTAGATCTTAGAGCCAAGAGGGCTGGAGTTTGGCCCTGGCTCTGTCTTCTTCATTAGTGTGCCCTTGGGCAAGCTTGCAACTGGTCCCAGCCCACCAAGAAAACCGGGGTAATCACGAGCACCTCCTGCGAGGTGAGTGGTAAGCCACAGACAGCAGGCGCCCACGGTTATCCAGGACAGGAACGTTCTGGAGGCAGGAACACGGCCTTATTCTCCTGTGCCTCATGTCAGCTGGTTTCTGAGTGTCTAGAACAGGGTTTGTAGCCCCTTCCTGACACAGGTGGGCACTTAGGAAGGTTTGAGGAGTAAATGCATGAAAAATTTAATACTAAATGATGGCCTTTGTACAGAGAGGCAGTCACATTTTAGAATAAATCTCATTTGCATCCCATTCCACAAAGAAATGGTCTACTAAAGGCAAACTGGGCTGCACGTGCCGTGCTGACGGAGGGGACCCCAAGTGGCCTCTGTGCCGCCACCACCGGCGCAGCCAAGTCCTCCCTCGTCCCTACCCGCCCACCTGCAGACGGAGCCGCAGAGAAAGGCAAAAGAGGAACTTACCAAGAAGAGCGTTGTGGCCGTCATCATCTGGCAGGAACCTCCTGTCCACGGCGCACACCAGGAGCTGGTCCGGCAGGCTGGGGGACTTGGCCCCCACGAGGAGGAAGCCGGCAGGGACGTCGATGGGCTCGTTGGAGATGGAGACCAGGCGCAGGTCCTTCCCGGCCTGGCAGAACCCTAGGGGGGCAGACAGGGCTCGCACGCCGCCCAGGACATCCCAGAGCCCGGGGTCGCGGGGGCAGGGGCAGGAGCAGCCCTTACGTCTGGGTGCGGCTGGCCTCGGAATTAATTCAGAGAGCCAAAACTATAATCATAGTCACTCACGACCAGACCACCCACACATCAATCATTTGTCTGTTGGTGCCACCCTGCAACACACATGGATGTGCAAATGAAGCTCAGCAGGAAAAAGGCTTAAGGCAAATGATGACAAATTATAATGTATAAAGATGAATCCATAAGACATAGGGGGTAATTTGATATATATATATATTTTTTTACACGCTGCATTTTACATGGATGAGAAAAAGGCCAGAGTCAAGAACAAGGGGTGAGAACCTGGTAACGCTGGTTTTCTTGGGGGGAGGGGGGCGGAGGGGAAAGCTGAGAGCACAGAGACTGTCACTCTACGCCTTTTTGAACCTTTCGTGCTTTTAAATATATTTCTTATTCAAAAAATAAGGTTCCGCCAGGCACGGTGGCTTACGCCTGTAATCCTAGCACTCTAGGAGGCCGAGACGGGCGGATTGCTCAAGGTCAGGAGTTCGAAACCAGCCTGAGCAAGAGCGAGACCCCGTCTCTACTATAAAATAGAAAGATTAATTGGCCAACTAATATATATAGAAAAAATTAGCCGGGCATGGTGGTGCATGCCTGTAGTCCCAGCTACTTTGGAGGCTGAGGCAGCAGGATTGCTTGAGCCCAGGAATTTGAGGTTGCTGTGAGCTAGGCTGACGCCATGGGACTCACTCAAGCCTGGGTAACAAAGCGAGACTCTGTCTCAAAAAAAAAAAAAAAAAAAAAAAAAAAAGAGATAAGGTTCTACAAGTATCTGGGGCCAAAGGAAGAAGAGGGAAACAGCTGAGATTCATTCACGTAATCCCTTTCCAGGGTCTCTCTCCAGGGAAGGTGTCCCAGCCCCATCTCCTGGGCTCCCTCTGCTACAGACTGAGGCCGAGACAGCAGACGGAGCCCGAGGTGGGCCCTGCAGAGCACCACACGTTTGCACGGCGTATTTAACCTCATTTGCATGAGAGCCTTGGGAAGTTCAGGAGCCTGTCCTCCTGTGCCGGGCTCCACCGTTTGCTCCAGGGTTGCCCACACGCCCCTGGGCAGAGGCAGGAGAAGGCTGCAGAGAGCCTGGCAGGCACGAGGCCAGCGCCACCACGTGCCGGGCACTGGCCAAGGCAAGGCCTGCAGAGCTCTCCTTGCATCACCCGTGGGAAAGGGCCACTGTTCCCAGTTTGGAGAGGGGGAAACCAAGGCTCAGAGGTTAAATGATTTGCCCAAAGCTGCAGAGGAGGACCAGGAAGGGAGCCAGGCTGACTCCCAGGCCCGAGGTGTTCCTATCGACTTAGGGAAGGTAGGCCAGCTCCCCAAGGTCCAGGGCAAGCACCCACCAGCAGGTCCCGCAACTCCATGACCCAGGGCCCTCCCAGCCCGGCATGGCCCCGCCTTCTGAAAAGCTGGAGGAAGACAGGCCTGAGCAGTCATAGCATCTGCTGCCTCATTAGGAAATTCTGCGAAATTCACTGTAACGACCACTGGAGACTCCTATCATTTAATTCACCTCCTATCATTTAATTCACCTCCTATCATTTAATTCAGTGGCCTTTTTAACACTCAGACACTAGAAGTCCTACCCCACGGAGAGCCACTGCACTTCCCTTTGCCTGGAAGGGCAGCCCAGCAAGGGTCGAGTCCCTCCCCTACAGGCTACCAGGCTCAAGGTCAAGTCCAGGCCTCCAGGGAGGACACAATGGGCCACCATAAACCTCCAAGCCCAGCCCCACCACACCCAGGCCCTTACCTAAAGAAACTGCCAGTAGTTCCCCAGATGGCTGTGGTCTCCCCCTTCTAAGCCTTTGCCTATGCTGTTCCCTCAGTCTGGGACTCCCCAACTTCCCCCAATGCCATCGCAGTCTCCTGGCTAACTCCTACCAATTCTCCAAAACCCAGATAGAGGACTGCCTCCTCCAGGAAGCCTTCGCACACTCTCCACCTGAGCTAGGAGCCTGTCCTCTGCTCCCACGCACCCCCGCTTGCCCCGACCCCAGCTCTCTCCACGCTGTGTGCAAAGCATCCGCTTCCCTACTTAGCTCCCATCGAACCGGGAGCTCTCGTGTCATTTATTTCCAGAGCAAGGGCTCAATACTTAGTTACTGCTTTATAATAACTAGTTATTTTAAATGACTAACTAGTGCCACCCCTTGACTGGTACATCTGTCAGGACCAATGAACTTGCTAACAGTCAGAGAGGCTGTGGGCCAGTGGGTGGCGGAAGCAGGGGCCACACCAGCCTGAGTGCAGAGCACGGGGCTGAGCTGCCACCCACCCAGCTTCTCAACAGGAATAACATGACATTTTGCAGGGCTCCCGGGACAAGGGGTATCTGCTTGTTCAACAGTAAACCACTGACAAATGTGAGAACTATTCCTCCTAGTCAATTCTGAGTTAAGCGTGCTGTGCAAGCAGGCCTGAGTAGGCAAAGCACATTCCAGTTTTCAAACAGCCAACCCACAAAGATGGATTTTCGTCACCTCAGCCACTGGTGAGTGAGGCTGTCCCAGGAGTGACCCTGCCTCAGCATCCAGGGCACGGTGTCTCCAGAGCGGCCGGTTCGGGTGGGCAGGACGCAGCCCACAGGCACCGCTCACGCCCCAGGGACAGCCTGGGAATGGGAAAAGGACGGGCAAAGAGGACCCCAGCAGCACACAGCCACGGGCCCAGCTTCGGCTCAGTCTCACCATCTGTGGTGCAGCATCCTTCCGGGGGAGGGTGCAGCTGGTAAGGATTTGGGAGACTGTTCGGCTCCAGCCCTCCTTCTCCCTCTTCTTCCTCTTCCTCATTGTCCACTCGGCTACCACCTAGGCATGGGGAGGGAGAGCGATGAGCAAGGCCGAGCCGTCCAGCCCCGGAGCTCCTGTGGGGGCCTTTCCTCCCACCCGGGTCCCCGGGCTCAGCCAGGCACGGGACTACGGGACTATCGCAGAACCAGCCCCCCTCCGTTAACACACTCAACAAGTCCTAGCTAGTAAGCAACAAGTCTGTACAAACGTACCATCAGCCAGGCATTATCATCCTTCCCGACTAGACAGAAAAGCTGAGGCTCGCTCAGGAGGGGTGGCTCTCCCGAGGTCACATGGCAAACAGACTCGGCCTGAGCCTGGCCTCCTGACTTCAAATTCGTGGTCACTTCTCTTCTACCCACTACAGCTGCACACATGCTACGGGTTTAATAAGTGGTTTATATAAGTCATATAAGGGTTTTTTTATATAAGTGGTTGATAACGACTAAGCACAGTGCCTATGCATAATAGGCATTCCAAAAGTATTTGTGTGGGAGGTCTCATGGTGTAACACAGAGACCATTTTACAAATAAGGAAACTGAGGCTCAGAGAGCTCCAGTGACTGGCCCACAGCTCTTCAGCTATCTGCTAAGTAGCACAGCCTGCATGTTCCCAGTTGTGTCTGATGCCCAAGCTGATGCTCTCACCACTAAACTTCACTGCTTCATTTAGGAGACAAAAAGTAAGAGGTGACCCCAAGCACGAGCGACAGGACCGGGCCCGCCTGGGTGGCACAGAAGACCGTGAGATCTACACTCTCTCCTCTCTGAGCCAGGACTCCAGAGACTCAGAGGGGAGGGCACACACACCAACGATCAGAGTGGGAAAAGGAGAGAAAATGCCGGATAAATAAAACACACAACCCCCAAAGCCCGGGCCTTCAGAGCTGAGGGTGCACGCAGGAATGTCTGCACATTATTCTGCCAAAGCAGCAAGAACAGGAATTTAGACTCTCAGAAAGAATGAAAGAGGAGGGTCTTAGGCCTCAGAAAGTCAAAGAAAGGGCCCGGGGTCCAGTCACTGAGAAATCTGAGAAATCGGGATTAAAGGTCAAAGGTCTGCATCAGCCGTCCTAGGGCCTTTGATGGGGCTCGGGCCAGAGCAGACTAAACCAGCGTGTTTACCCAGCCCTCCTGGCAGGATGAGAGCTGTAAAATGGCATTAGACAAAACCAACTGGATTGGAAGCGCAGAGCCGTAATAATAAAACTCAGGAACTCAGAGCCACTCCACTCCGTGTGGCATGAGGCTATGTATTTTAATGCTCACATTCAATTTTGTTTTCTTTCCTGGAGAAGAAACTCCATGACATTCTGAGTGGGTGGGATTACAGGAATTTACCTGTGTCCTGTCTAATTGATAAACACTTATCCCCAAATGCTGGGGTAGTGTTTGTTTTGTTGGTCTTTCTTTAAAGAAAAAAAAAAAAAATCAACAATGCATAAAAGGTTTTTCCCCTACAAGGAGGTGGCAGGTAGGAACTCTAATTCCAAGAACAAAGGAAAAGACCCCTGCTAAATCACCCTCACAAATGCATAAAATGTTAACAGATCCAGGGGTGTTTAGTATACTAGTGCCCGGGTCGTAAAAATCATCTTTCATGTTATTGTCTGAGGAAGGCAAGACAGAAGATAAGAGACCCTGACAGACAGACGAAACGAGATACGGCCTAGACAAGCCCGTCTGCATCAAGTTTTACGATGCAAAAACAGGGGCTCGAGCTGAGTGCTTAGTTTATGGTGACATTTAGCAAACCAAAAAGAGTCACTCCGTTCCCACTAATCCCTTAAGCCTCCTTGTTTGCCTGCACTAGAAAACCAAAATCTCAGGGGGTTTCCGTTTGCTGGACAAATGGGAAAAAAAAAAAAAAAAAAATCACAGAGCGGGCTCATTCGGTTTTCAGACCAATGTGAAGGCTGAACAAGCCTGCTGGCGGCTGGCAGGGAACCTTCCACACTCAACACCAAAGGAATGAAGAGCCTAAGCCTAAAAGCTGTCCCTGGAAGGTGCCACCACGTCCAGCAGCCGGTAAGAGCACCCTGAGCATTCGGAAGGCTAGAGACAGCCTCCCGAGGAGAGGAGAGCCGGAGGAAGCCTATCAAATCTTCAAACAGGACAAGCTGATTAGGCGTCAGTCCACACAGGTTTTTCTACTTGTCTCTCTCCCCAGGTGGGCAGCCCGAGTCCACTCGACCCCTGGCGTCTGCCTCCTTTTCGTCTCAGAGCTGCCAAAGCTCGGACGCAACTGCTGCTCAGCCACTCCTGCTACACTCCCGGCAATCCACTCCTGCATCTTCCCAAATCATGGGATTCAATCAATTACTTTGGCTTGTGGAGGTGAAAAAGCACTTTGCAGATTTTAAGGTACCATTCAAAGGCACTAAATGATCATTATTACTATTATTAATTTATCATTAGCAACAAAGCTTTTCAACACTATAAGAAGTTAAGGATGACCACGAAATACATATTCCACGAAAGTCTCTCAACTGTCCAAAAACACAAGTCTATAAAAGGCTCTCCAGTTATTTCTCAACTCCCCACAATGTCACAGTAGTGTGTTCTGTGCCAGAAAACGTTGGCACTTGAATACCAGAGACTTATTGGTTTTCCTAAGTCATGGTTTTGCCCACAATCTAGTTTCTCCCAGACTCAGATACAGGTCTTTAGAGGAGACATTTGCAAGGTTAATTTCGTAAGGACATTTTAAACCGTTACACAGGGAGGCCTCCCTGCTAGAATAAGGAACTATCAGACATCACACAAGCTCAACACAAAGCCCCTTGAAGACAAGCACCTCCGTGACTTGTTTTTCTTTATGTTCTTCTACTCACTCCAGCCTCCCATCCCCACACACACTCATTTGCACTTGCACACGCGCGCACACGCAAGAGCATCCCAGCACGAGCCCTGCCACACTGAATGCTTTCCTGTTTAATTTTAGTTGACTAATTTTTGTTTTAAACCACGGCCTCTTTTCAGTTCAGTAGCTAAGTGAAGTCTGCCGATAACTTCAATTAAAAGACATAAACTTACCAAATGAACTTCCATAACAGTTTTCTCATGTTATGGATTGCTGAGGGGTAACTTTTGACATGACAATACATAGCTATAAAAAAAATACAACCATTTTATTCTCTGGATAATTAACTAAACCCTGAAGTGAGTCCCCATGCCTGAAGATAATTTGTTTAATCTTGGCACATGTGCATTTCATAAGGGTTTGCTCTTGGTTTTCAAAAGTTCCAGGAGGGCTCTTGTACCTGCTATTACAAACAGAAACTGCCTTGACTACTTGGCAAAGATACGGCTGCAACTCACAGAGCAGAGAGAAAGTGTATATAGCTGAGGGCCAAAAGCATGTTAAAATTTCTTGCTTATCCAAGTGAAAATGTCAAAACTTTCTAATAAGAGTACATGTAACAACCAGTTCAGAACAATTTGCCCTCTTGCTTTCTCCTGCGAATGTTATTCCTTGCAACTTTATGGCTGAACCGTATTTTAGTTCTAGCCAAGCAAGCACCTATGTGCAACTTTCTTTTTCTAAGAGTTCTTTGCTGCTGCTAGACTTGGTTTCTACACAGAGCAGAAGAACAGAGTTTCAAGTTCTGCTGCTCACGTTAAACCGCACACAATAAAAGAAATACACAGAGGGAAGAAACGCGCATCTCTTACCTTCCAGAGAGGAGAGGTGCTGCTCCGCTTCCAGGTACAGCTGGGAGAAGATGGGCCTGGGCACCAGGTTGTTGGAGCGCAGGGAGGCCTCGATGGAGTTGTGCAAGACCTCTTCAAACCGCGTCGTCTTCAGCTGTCCGGCGTAAGAATTGCCCATCTTCAAGAAAGAGGATGGAGTCTTCCTTTTAAAATGGCATTTCAGTTTAAGTGGAAAAGTGACTTCACGCACAAAGCTCAGAGTAGAAGCAGAAACAGCTGCAAGGAGACAGCTCAGCAGAGACCGGGAGAGGCGCTGTCCTCAGCTGCAGCCACTGCAGGGCAATCACAGGAAGTCATATAAGTAACAGCTTTCTCCAATTTAGCACTCAGCTAACCACCTTTCAGGGTATTCCACTAGAAACTGCCTCTCAGCCTTCCCCAGGTCTCTCTCTCCCCAGAGAGATGTCCCTGCCCCTGAGGGATCCCAGACAAATGACCTGCAGACCAATGGCCCTAGAACACTTTATGTATCTGGTAAAAGGCTATTAGCATTACATCCAGAACACCTGGAAATGTGGAAATTACAGAAGAGGATGGGAAAGCAAGAGGATGATCACCAATACTATTATCCCCTAAGATAACCACTGTGATTTTTTTTTTTTTTACCAGAGCAGCTTAGTTGGTACATAATTCACATACCACACCACTGGCAGTATACAACTCAGCGGTCTTTAGTATGTTCACAGTGTTGTGCAACCTTCATACAATCAATTTTGGAAACTTTCAGCACCCCAAAAAGAAGCCCATGCCCATCACTCCCCACAGCTGGAAGCAAGTACTACTTTGTAGTACTCCATCACCCAGGTAGAGGGCCATGGCGTCAGCCTAGCTCACTGCAGCCGCAAACTCCTGGGCTCGAGGGATCCTCCTGCCTCAGCCTCCCCAGTAGCTGGGACTACAGGCAGATGCCACCTCACCCAGCTAATTTTTCTATTTTTAGTGGAGACAGGCTCTCGCTCTTGCTCAGGCTGGTTGATTCTCTCTTTGATCCAATAATTACCTTGGAGTTTTGTGTTTCATTCTGAATAGTCTAGACTTGGTCAAGGGATGGGGTCAGCCTCAGAGCGTTTATTTCTAGCTTTTATGGGCTTATAATCAAGGCTGTGGTCTTTGGAAGCTCTACATTTTAAACTTCTTAAGGGTTTCTCTTTGCCATACACCTGCTGGATTTTTATAGATATGAGAAAAGAGGATCTCTTCAAGGAATGAAAAGAGATACGGCATTCAATTATTCTCTATCCTTGTGTATCTCTTTTCTATTGTAATGGTAATTTTTAAAGTAGCATTTAACTCACAAAATAGCGCAAGCTGCCCACACTGCAGTGCCCACAGGACAGCAGTTTCCTGCCTTCATCTGCAGCGACTGCACACGCTGGGGATGCCGCCAGCCTCACCGCCAGGCGAACCCTCGCTCAGTATCTGGCTCAAGCCAAATGTAATAAGTTCTCCTCGGCCCTGCTCTGTTGGTGGCAGGGCACTTCCAAGACGTTACCCTTGGCGCCCTCAGGAGCTCTGGTTTCCCTCCCGAAGCTGTGACGAACTGCTGTGGCCATGCTGCTTTTCCTGCCCCTATTGTAAGGAAGTGGTTCAGCCTTTCCTCTTCCAACTAAAAGTAAGTGGAAACCATGAAGCACCTCCTGCTTGTGGCAGTAACTCCTGACCACGGCCCCTCGCTCAGCCTCTGCTTACAGCCCAGGGGAAAAGAGCTGTCGGGAGGATTGCCCCAGGAATTAGCCCCAACAAAAGGAAAATGCTCCTGAAAGAGAGAGGCCAGCACAGAGTGGGAGAGGCCACGGGTCCTCTCGCCTGCCTTTCCCCTCCCCGACCTGTTGCACACTTCCACCCGGCCGAGGCGTTAGCGGCCACATCGGGGCACACGTGCGTCACTCTCAGGCGGCGTGTTTACAGCCACTGCCGATTAATAACGTCACATCCGCCTCCCATCTCCACAGCACCTCTGTCTGAAGCGCTTCAGGCTCACAAGAAGCAGCTTTAAGGCGGCCCGTTTTGCACAGAGCCCTGCAGAATCCTGCCCTGTGACCGAAAGAACATGGCGGGGGCATCCAGACCCTTCCCACGGCCCCGTGCAGCTCACCTGACAGCTGATCGGCGCCCAGAGGTCCCCACCGGTGAAGGCGCATCAACGCCCAATGCCGCGGGCGCAATAAAGAGGAAGAAGCAAGACGCACATCCACTGTCCCGCCACTGCGCGCAAGGGCGCTGGGCGTGTGCCCTGCCAACGTGTGCGGCAGCCGCGGAGCCGCGTAATGAAGCCCATTTTGTAGACGATGAATTCAAATCTTAGAGAGTCATAACCTAGGGGAATTCTTGTTGAAAGAAAAACATATAGAATAGGGGGAGGGGAGGAAGGGGGAGTGGGGCAGAAGCAAAAACGACCACGGCAAAGAAGAGATTCCACACTCAGAAAGATGGAAATTTCATTGTATAGCCTAAGCGAACATCAAAGTTTTAATTCCGTAAGTGAATAGTGCCAGAGAAAACAGATACGATTCCGTATCGAACGAGGCATGCGAAATCACACCAGTAAGTATACGAGGTCTATCCAGAAAGTGCCCAGCCATGTAATATGAACATGTATATTAACAATGGCTGGATACTTTCCGGACAGACCTAATATACTGATAAATAAGAACGAGGAAGATGCACTAAAAACAGTATTAAAAGCTGCGGCCCTTTTGGTTATTCCCTATTGGGCCACATCCAAATAGTGTAGGGACTTTCTAGACACCATGGCAGTGCTCTATCTTAGAAGCAGGGCCTGGCCTCAAAGCCACACCTGCTAGGTGAGGAAGGTTGGGACAGGAGGGCCATGGCAGGCCTGCAGGGGAGGCACACCTGGAGCTCTCTCGGCTCTGGGCGGTGAGAAACCCGCTCTTGACCAGTGGGGAACTAAAGACCCAGACAGAGAAGAGCCTCGTTCGGGGGTCAAACATCAAAGCTCAAATCCTCCCAAATGCCTCATGGAACAAACACGGCCAACGCCCAGGAAAAGCCTCCGTGCACTGGTCCTTCTTTCCCTGCCCTGGCCCTGACCACTCGCTCCCTGCCCGTGGCCTTCTGCTGGAGCCCTGCTGCAGCTGTGCAAGTGTGCAAGCCGCCTCCAGGACTCCTTCCATACCACGACACGCGTGTCCTCCGCCTGCACTGCAAGGCCCGAACGAGCTCCCCCCAACGCCGAGGCATGATGAGCTTCAACTGTGGAAGCTGAGCAGAGCCCATCAGAGCAGAGAACCGCAAACCACAGCCTTCTCCTTCATGCACAAAAGCCTGGCTGTAGCAGACTGGAAAGAGCCTGTGTGACCCCAAGCAAAGTGCTTTCCGCTAGGTCTCAGTGTTCTCATCTATGAAATGGGCGGCTTAGAAGAGCTGATTGGTCTTTACAGACAGTAAAAGAGACAGTGTATGGAAGTGCCTAGCATGTACCCAATAGTCAGTGCGCGATCATTAATTTCTGGCTAAATACGAACACTCACATGAAAAGACAAGAATTTCACATCTTAAATGACAAGTGACAAGGAAGCACTGTCGTCCATAAGCGCTACAACTTAAGAAGGTGGAAAACTCACTGAGAACTTGGGTGGCCAATGGGGCTGGTACTTGAAATGGGCCAGTAGGATATTTGGGGCAAAAATTTGAGAACATCATTGGAGAAAAAAGGCACAGGAGAGTACAAATGCATGAAAACTCCAGGGGAACAGACATACTCTAGAAAAAGAAGTAAGTTCATTTGTAAATGGTTTACAAGATGATACAGCGATAGAATAGCAAAAACAAACCTAAGGGTAAAAATTAGACTTTTTATTTTTTTTTTCTGAGACACAGTCTCACTCTGTTGCCCCAACTAGAGTGCTGTGGCATCAGCCTAGCTCACAGCAACCTCAAACTCCTGGGCTCAGGCAATCCTTCTGCCTCAGCCTCCTGAGTAGCTGGGACTACAGGCATGTGCCACCATGCCCAGCTAAGTTTTTCTATATATTTTTAGTTGGCCAATTAATTTTTTTCTATTTTTAGCAGAGACGGGGCTCACTCTTGCTCAGGCTGGTTTTGAACTCCTGACCTTGAGCGGTCCACCCACTTCAGCCTCCCAGAGTGCTGGAATTACAGGCGCGAGCCACCCTTCCGGCCCTTGACCGTTGTTTTTAATAGGCGAGAGACAGTCCCCGGAGCTGCAGAGTTAGAGATTCACAATGCTAAAGGTAATGTTTCAGGCAGGTCAATCGGACAGAGCAGTCTGGGATAAAAACTGGAGGGAAGACCTGAAGGCAGGAGGCCCAGTGGATGCCGTTTCAATTGTACCTTTGATATCTGCTTGTTGTCAAGAGCGAGGCACAAAAGGTTGCTCAGACATTCTGTACACAGGGATGCAGCTGGCTCACTGCTGGGCTTCACAGGAGGCAATCAGATGTGGGTCTATTTCACCAAATACAGCCCTGTGTCGGCGCAAATCCCAGAAAAGGCTTAGGAAGCCAGGCAACAAGGTGAAAGACGGGACAAAAGAATGGGAAGGCTCCCTCACCTCCCCCAGCAGCCCCCTCCCCATCTCCGTGGAAGCCTGGAGATTTACTCAGGACAAATTGCAGAGTCTGGATTCTGTGACACAGCTGACGACAGTACTCAACTACCTCTGGTCCGTGTGACCCCAGAGGCACCTGCACACTTGACCAGCGGGAGCAGACAGACCCAGGTGAGTTTGGAGTCCCACAGGTGAGCTATCTCAACACGCTTTGGATGGCCGAGACATCGGACCCGTCCTCCTCCCCGTCTCTGCCAAAGCCTGGAAATTTACTCAGGACAAACTAAGCCACAAAGAATCTGGATTCTGGAACACAGCTGACAACAGGTGTGAGATGCATGTCTGAAAACAAGAGAACTGACTCAAAGTCTACACGCTGGATGATAAAATGCCCCCTCTCCATTCCGCTTCTCCCATTTGGCTCCCCCAAGATGCAGTCAGCCTTAAGGAAGGGAAGATACTGAAAACTGGGGGTGCTCGAAATATAACAGATCCACATCTGATCACCTGTGAGACCCGCCGTCACCCAGCTGCACCCATGTGTATAGCACTTTCCCGCAACTTTCTGTGCTTGACTTAAAAACAAGCAGACGTCCAAAGATCATCAGCATCACAAAGGCTTTTGAGAAAATCCTCTAACCTAAAAGTTAGAGACTAAAAGAAACAAAGAGATAAAGAGAGCAAACAAAAACCACAAAGGAAACACATCCACCACAGTTAATACCCCACAGGGACAAC